AATTATGACTGACAATTTATTATGAGGTTGCAAATTTGACTTAACTCTTTATATGGAACATATTCCTTAATTCTTGGAGCTGTTTTAATGTATTTGTATGTCATATTTTTAGTTATGTTTGTTTCTTTTTTCTTACTGTCTCAACGGAGAGCCGTAGTCAATCGTGTTTTGCCTAAAACTGAACTTGTTTTGTAGATGATTTCAGCGCGGTAAATATTTACAAACCAGCAGTCAGCATGTGATGGTAATTGATATCTCAGAGATGGCCCGCCAGAATGATGTGCTGACACCATATACAGTACAAACAAAGATCCATGCATCATCACACAGTAGACAGTTAATCCAATAAAGACCTGCTAAAACAAAAGGGAGTTGCGCCGCGGCTGGGATGGTTGCCGTCCCATGCAGGTTTGCATTCCGCTACACGTATGCACATCTCCCTTTGCAGCGATATATAACCACGAAGGCACTTTACCTCTCCACGCGAGTGCATTAAAACGCTAAACATAAAACCACCAGAGTCGCTCTTTCCATTCATTTCTTGGCGGGAATCAATGCTTCTATCCATGCTGCTGGTCGACAACGAGGGAGACAGTCTTTGGGGAGGGGGTGCAGTGCGGGCTTTGGCGCCCAGGGGGCCGGAGCTAAGAAATTGGCAGGAGTGAAAGAGAAAGTCTGGCGGAACTTGAGATCACCACTTGGTATAGAGCATGCAGTGTGTTTTTCTGCATGGACGCCAGGCTTTCTGTATGGTCTGCCACTTCGTCTGTTGATTAACATGTGTGTGCGTGCGTGTGTGAGAGAGCGGCTTAATATAGATCTCCAAAAGGTCTAGTATGAATAATACTATAAGAAGAAACTTTACCTGGTATTTTTAATTGCATAATAGTATCCATATATTTTTATAATTCATCTGAAGCAATTTTGTGATTTCTATAAGCATCTTATGGTTTGTCCATAATATCTTATCTAGTATTGACCTGCTGGAATTTACTTCAATTTTTGTACATCACAAACTTTCTATTGACTCTAGTATTCAACCGCTAGTATGCTCCTCGATGTATGAAGAATATGAAATGATTTCCTTCTGCACTGGAGTGGCTCTACCTAATAGTTATTTTCCACCATTTCCAATCGTGCTTTATTATAACAAACAAAAAAAAGAACAAATGAAATGAAATTATATTATACCTCTTTTATATTCATGTTATATCTATTGTAGAAATATTTCACAAATTTACATTTTCATGGATATAAAGAGGGAAATCACTTAGGAGAGGCATACTGTAGGGACAACTAGCATACTATAAATCATGGAGGTACCGGTACATGTATATGTAATTGTATGCCTGGTCCTACTCGGCGTGTGTGATGAACCGGGGGCATGACAGCTTACATCTTGTCATATCACATCAATATCTCACTGAAAAATGTGTGGTCTGATGGCCGATCGAAAGCAGATCACCTATATCCCAGATCCGTCACTGTCCATGTCTCTCTGAAGTCTCTCTCTCTCTCTCTCTCCCCTTTTCTCTCTCCCTCTCTCTCTCCCCTTTTCTCTCTCCCTCTCTCTTTCTCTTCATCTCTTCACCCTTTTCTCTCCTTCCCTCTCCCTCCCTCTCCCTCCTTCCCTCTCCCTATTTTCTCCACCCTTTTCTCACCCTCTCCCTCACTTTCTCGATCTCTCCCTCTCTCTCATCTCTCTGTCTCCCTCTCTCTCTCTCTCTCTCTTTCTCTCTCTCATTCCTCCTCGATGTCTCTGCCGTCTTCGTCAAGAGATAGCTCATCGCAGAGTACACAGAGCGATGCCATTCCTTCGTCATGGCTGTGTGGCATGCACATGGCGGTTTGTGTATGATTTGAATGGTGCTATGCTCAGAGATGAGGAGAGAACATATTGCTCCTTCTCTCTTTCTCTCTCTGTCTCGTCATCTCTCTCTCTCTGTCTCTCCATCTCTCTCTCTCCACGATGCACTTGTGCTGTCAGCGAATGAGAGAATTCCAGTTATGATTAGATGCTGGTGGCTGCTTTAGCCCGGCTCTTTACTCATACCGCAGATGGCCGCTACTCAAGGCAGGATGCATGGGCCTTTTTAGCCCCAGGCAATAAGTACTACTTTTTGTTCTACTTCAAAACATCTCTATCTGTCTGTTTGTCTGTCTGTCTCTCTTTTCTTCTCTCTCTCTCTGTAATTCTGTCTGTCTCTCCTTGTGTATGACTGACTGTACCCCCTTTTTCTGCATATCTCTTTATCTATCACTATATTTTTTCTCACGATGTTAATCTTCTCTAAAATGGAACATTTTTCAATCCATCTTTGCAAGTAAACACTTATGCTCCTTGGATGGTTGTGATATTCTGAAGGAGGAGGAGGAGAGGAGGTCAGTGATTGACATTTATGTTGCCATGGAGACCATACTGCATCTTCATTAACATGGCTGCATATACTCTGAACCAACTCCATGGAGGACCTTAAAATCATTCTTGTATTGAGGAAATCTTCATCTCCTTAATCTCATGGCAGCTACTCTTGCAGTTTCAGAATATTATGGATGCTAAATTCACCACGTTTAAGGTTTACAGACATGACTGATTCAAGCCGTTCCCCGGTTGCAGAGCACCCATGTGACTCATAATGCGCATACAGTCATGCTGTAATCGTCGGCTATCTTCAGAAGATAGCTATACCCATTGAGAGTAAGCATAATGCGATTCTCCATTCACTTTCTTCATTCACTTTCTTCATTCTGGATCTGACTAATCTCATCATGTTATCCTGATTTTTTTAGCTCATTTGAAAGATTTTACCAGGAAAAGACAGAAATGTGTAATTTCTTGAATTACTAGGAAGCACATCAAAGAGTTATGACAAGCTCATGGAGTTTGAATGAATCTACAAGAATTGCATATCAACAATGCATATCAACAAGTATTTTTTCGCATAAAAACCTTGATGCTTGTCTGTCTAATTTGGAATAATCTCCACATTTCTAAAGCCAATGCATCATACCGGGCCTGGCAGCTGCGAAACACACCGTCCGTCTCCCGAAATAACTACCTTTTATAGATCGTGCCGGGTTTAGCGGGCCACCACCGATTCAATTCATTCACTCCTCATGGATTTATGCATCTCGGTGGCTGGGTCTCTATCGCCCTAATTTGCATAGATGCATGATGGTATAGATGCCTAGTGAGGTTGTTAATGTGGGTTCCTGGAGGCTGGAGTCACGTCGTCCGTTCGAGTCCTTCGCTAAGAACACAGGATATTGTTTCATTATTCGTACAGCAGCTCTTTAGTTTGCATCTTGTATTTGCGATATTGGATGGAAATTGGCGTAGCAGAGACGGCGTTGAGTGCACGGAGGATGGAGTGTGCAGCTAATGTCAAGAGATATGAGCGGTTTTGGTTGTCGATTGCTCCAGTGTGGAATATTCATTTGGATTAGATATATATTGCGGAGTGAGTTTTCAGTATACATGTATGTATAAGCACCTAGCAGATTTCACTGTGAGCTTTTGTGTGATGATGTAAATGTGAAGATATTGATGCTGATGTTGTGATAAGTTTATGAATATTACTTTCATGTACTCTTATTCATAATGTCTCCTATTGGGTATTGCTGTATTTTTAATCATTTATTGTAGACTATTGAATAACCATCTTTACTTGTTGTTTAGCATGACACAAAGAATGTTATAGCCATCTACTCAATTTATCACTCTGTACCTTGGCTGATCTTGTTCAGAATTTGTTAAATAAGAAATTTATGTTGTAAATTAATTCATATTAATTTGAAAACTGTGTGAAGAAAAAGTAAACCCAGTCCCATTCTTTTAATGATGTTTTTACTCTACAAGTTTGAAGGACATATTTTGATTGATAAGAATTTGATCATGATATATTGCATTTCACCCCCATAACTCCTTTACAAGTTGATATATATTTTGAATAAACACACATATTACCAAGTTTTGTAGTTTTTCAAGTATGTGAGAAATTGAATTATCCCGATTTATGTTTCTTGAGAAAGAGACATATTAAAGCTTACATCTAAAGTATTCAATAAAGGCCCTTATTCAACCAGTCCACCTTTCATTCTTGAGTTACGCCATCGAAAGATTAAAAACAACAAATTAAAAAAAAGTTTGAATAATTCAGTTGTTCACTGTACAAGGAATATGAGTCAATGTCATCCTGGCTCTCAGCAAACACTGTGTGCATAATTCCCACTCCCATTTTACACTCCCTATAACAAGCAGTGCCGTCCCCCCCCCCCCCGAAAAAATGATTTCCTTTCATTTTCATATGTGGCAGTGTCTACCTCCCTCCTTGATCAATCAATCCCACAGTGTCCTCTGTTTATTACCTTATGCACGGTGAGGAATCCTCTCCACAAAACAAACTTCTCGTCTTACAGCTACACTCTGACTAACCCCTCCATTCAGACTACAAAATGAATGGTATATGAAAACTGTAGTTGTGCGATACGCAACTAATTTTCTAGTCTGAACGGCAAATACTAAAGGTATAAATGTTTGAGCATCGTTTCGAATAAAATCTTGCTAAAGAATCAGGGTTCCATTCTCATTAGAACGTTGTATCACTTAAAAACTAGTCAGGCCTGGGGGTGTTTCACAAAACTTGTCATCAGTGACAAATGACAGCTTTTGTTATAAGCTACTGAAATCCTTGCTTCTGATTGGTCATTAGCAGATTTGTCACTGATTTTCGTCATGTGTCATTGATAAAAGGCTTTATGAAACACCCCCTGGCTTATTACAAGTCTGCACTGATGATTAGCTAGCTGTCATGTTAACTAGTTTCTTTAATCAAAGCTTCTTTACTACGTTACTCATTTTTCATGTGTGTATGACTCGTTGGTTCTACTATGATACGCTTATACAGTGTTTCTTTACACAACTTTCTGTATGAATTTCCTCTAGTGTAAACAGGTCCTAATGTTTCTTTGTTTTCATTGTTTGTTCTCTTTGTGTATAGGGTGGCCAGACTGCCCTCATGTGTGCAGCCCAAGTGGGAAATCTAGAACTGGTACAAGAACTCCTACTCAAGGGTGCTGACGTCAAGGCCATGGATGAGGTATGCATGGATGGAGCATCTTATTTCTAACAATATCTCACTTCTCTCAATTTTCTCTTTTTCATGTCTTCTTCGCCCCTAATTCTCTCTTTTCAATTCTCTCTGTTCAGTTCTCTTTTTTTTTGTTGCATTCTCTCTTTTCAATCTTTCATTCATGTTTAATATATCCAATGATATTTTGTTATCAGCATACTTTTTTCATTCACTCTGCTCTCCTTTGCTTTCCCCATCTCTCTCTATCTCTCTCTCTATCTCTCTCTCTATTCTAATCTCTTTCTTTCCCTTTTTTCACTATTATATTTTTGATGTGGTCTTCCTCAGAACAATTAATGAATCTGTATGTTTGGTATAAATATAACCTTGTGTGTAACGATGATTGCCAATATTTGTCCTATAGAAACTTTTTAAGAGTTAATTATGGGCCTAAAATCAATATTTTGCAATCTTGCATAAAAACCTTCAATATGAACCATCATATGAATGTTTACTCTTCATATCAAGATATATGTAGATTTCATCCAAATTTAAAGTAGAACATTAGCATTCTCTGGCAGGATTTGTCGCCTACAGCAGAGAAAGGGTTAACCACAAAACAGAATGTGTTACAATCTACTCTAGATCTCTTCGTCAGATTCGCTACGTGTATCAGTGTTTAGATTTATTCAAGTGAATCTTATTACCGTCTCAAAATAGAAATAGAATCGTGTACACTGATATGTGGTTTCATGCCACGTGAAGCATTGTATTATTCTTGTGGTTTGTGTGTTAGTAGAAACAAGAATTAAGAGAATTGATTGCAGACTTTGACATACCTCTTTCTTTCTAAAGCTATAATTTGGTAACTCCTTACCTGTTGATATATATAGTATAGGTGCTTTGTATCTATATTAAGAAAAGGTGATTTAGAAATGCTCAACTGTATTATTGTGGTAGGAAAGATATATGGGTCTGCAATCCAGACTTTGTCTAAGATATATATTTTCAGACATTATACGGCAAATGCTATACAAATTGGTAGCTCCAAGCTAGATGCATAGCCCGATCTTCATATAAAATGCTGTTTGAAAACCAAGGATGTGTTTATATGTAGGCAAGGTTGTTGAGTGATACAATCATAACTATGGCAGGCAGACTTGCTGCAAAAGACCTGTTAAATTCTTTATATCTTGTAATACCGTCCTGTATCTCAGGGTGAGAGACAGAAGTCCAATCTTCTGCCACCACTTACGCAATACGAAACCATTCAAATTAATTAGCGTTGGCATTAATTTACCAAAATTTAAGGGTATGGAGTTTTGTCACTTTACGCCGTCCATAGTTACCTGGACGTTTTGAACGCAGAGTGATTGGTTTAAGCCTTGATTGTGAATGAATCCAAGCATGGTCTGTTTGATCACCTTGCTCCAGGCCTACATGAAAATTCAGCAGACTTCTCGTGTGACACGGAGGTCCCGCGAAAGAAAACCCCGATCCGCTCGATCCTAGTTAAACATTCCATCTACTTAAGGTGGGAGGCGCATATAAACCCGCCCAGGATACGAGTCTGAAAGTGATAGATCGGAGATGGAAGAGAGGGAGAATTGGAGCGGAGAGGGAAAGATGAGAGGAGGGGTTAGAAATAGCCACCATGTTTTGTCTGTCAACTGTTCATACGAGGTTCTGTGAATTTGGGGGCATTTTTGTTAATCTTGAGAAACTTGAGAAAGAACCTGATACATGTACATTATATGCTGGGCATAATCATGAAGTTGATATATGCACTCCTTCTTGGAAAGTGCACTAGCATGGAAGGCAAGAAAAGTGGCCTTTAAAGGTAGGTGGTCTTTATTGACAGGTTCCTGTAATACCTGTTTATTAGGGGAAACAAATAGCTCAGGACAAAACAGAAGTGTAGTCTTCATAGAAACATGGTTTGTCTTTCCAGATGGTTGCTAAAGTAGGTTTACCTCGACTGTATCATCGCATGAGTCCCAATCGCTTCATCTTCCATTCCTGCATTTTACTTATGGTCATTTTATTCTCATAACAGGACAAGTGGACACCGCTGATCTTTGCGGCCAGGGAGGGTCACCTGGACATTGCCAAGGCTCTCCTGGACAAAGGGGCTGAAGTGGACCATGCAGATGTGGTAAGACAGAACTCTTCAATTGGAACAGAATTTTAAAAGTTAGGCTCGTTTCCTGGCCCCCCCCCCCCCCACTCCGAGAAAGGACGGACCTCATGTGTGTTACCAAAATGTCCTTTTGGTAACAAAAGTAAAAGGTCGACCCGTATTGACTTTACACACCGGACTTTTGCTGAAAAGAGGGGGGGGGGGGGGGTCGCTTGGAACACGCATATGCGTACCCTAAATAACACTGAGTGGGGGGGGGGGGCCCGGGGCTCGTTTAAAAAAAACATGTAAATGAATGGCCACTGCGCGCATCAAGGGTCCTGCATGTATTCATTGACCTCTGTGCTTTATGTCATCATAAAAGAAGCGTACCGTCATATCTGAACGAAAACTGTGGTCATACTATTTGCATAAAGATAAATATAGATAGTGACATTATGACAATATATTTTTAGCTTAAAATTTCAATTACATGTACATTAGTAATATAAAGATCTGTTGCGCAAATTTCTACTAACTTTGTTGTCAAATTTTGTACATTTTTTTCACGATTGCATTGTCTGTTTAGAGCCAGAACATCATTTACTCCCTGTGACATCGTAGGGGTCATTGCCCTTTTGACTCTCGGCATATGAGAAACTCAGTGGCCCAAATCCTACTAAAATTTAAACTTGATGCTGGGTTTTGTTTGTTAGTAAGCAACCAGGGGACCAACAGCTCTAAGTCCTCTCTGAGGGAACTGGTAATGAGGATCAATGCCTTACCTAAGGGCCTTACTAGTGCATTGAATTGGTTTAGAACCTGGGACCTCCACTGCTCTACCACTTAGCCATCACGTTTTAGCTTTTATTCAAAATGGGGAATAACAATGGTAGTTAGTCTGATGTCTAAGCTATCCTTTGTTAAACATGATCTTAGAATTAGAGTCATGTTTAAATGAACTAGTAGTATACGGGCTGATGTGGTAATTCTTGTAAACTTCTTATAAAAATGACAAGACACAAAATTGGTTACTCCTTTAAATGAGGGACCTACTGTAACTGGGTGAGTAAAAAAAACCATTAAAGCACATTTATCATTCCCAAGATTGTGTATGTATTACTATGTAAGTTACAAAATCTGATACTCTCTTCTTTTAACCTTTCTGGCATAAACAAACCAACCTCTTCTTTAAAGACAATAGCCTCTTCTTTTAAATTCATTCAAGTTTTTCTAAATATGTTCTTCATATCCTTCTACCTGTTTCTCTTTCTTTCTTTGCCTCAGAATGGATGGACGCCTCTGATGTGGGCCAGTTATAAAGGTCATACGGATGTCTGCGTGGAACTCTTAGAACGCAAGGGCAACCCCAACGTGCAAGCCCATGTAAGTTTGAGACCAGGGGCCTGTTTCACAAAACACTTGTCGCAGCAACAAATCACAAAAATCAGTGACAAATCTGCTCATAACCAATCAGAAGCAAGGATTTCAGTAGCTTAAAACAAAAACAGTCATTTGTCACTGATGACAAGTTTTGTGAAATGGGGTTCTGTATGCAGTCCTTTTCCCATTCTGATTTCTGTGAGATACCCTAAGAAACTGCTGATTGACCAGACATATAATATTTTATAAGTGTATTGCAAGGAAGGATTCCAGGCAGAAAAATATGTAAATACCACTCCTTGGAATATATTATTATCAAAGGATGGGATGAATTTACAGGTTTTTAATCTACTTTTTAAAAAATTGTAAGAAGACATTTTTAAGCACTGTGAAATGAAACAGAATAGATAAACATGTATATGATATGGTTTTCTTGAATGCTTCCGGAATGAAAAAAATAGAATCTTGTCTTGCAGGACAAAGAATTTGCTCATGACAACCAATAAAATTGCATTTAGAGCTGTGTGATAACTCTCTGAAACATATTCATTCATGAAGTTGCTGGTTCACAGAATTATTGTTTAGTTCTCTGTTGACTGTTGACTACCGGTATTGCAAATATAACCATAGAGAGATATGCAGTATGCAAAAGTAGCATTGCACACATAGAGTAATTGACCGCCAGATAAAATTGCCATTTACAGACTTGCAGTGAGGTTTACCTTAATCTTATTGATTTAGAGAGCCACTGCCAAATGTTCATTCCTGTAAATCAGCGTCCGGGGTGGCAAACCGGTACAAGTGTATCTAAAGCCGACAACGGTTAGCTACGTATAGCCTCTGAAGATATTGAAAGCACTTGCACTAAGCATTGGTGCGAGGGTCTCTACTTTAGCTGCGAGTGTCCTGATATTTATGGCAGACACACATTGGATAGTCTTATTTGACTGTTCATATCTTGATGGCGATGACAATGAAGCATACGTGCGGTGGGAATTCCGTAAAATGACGAGGTTGATTGGGTCGTTCCATCCGTCATAGTTTGTGGTTGATATATCGTTGCTGTATACTTCTATATGGAAGCTATAGTATATCTACATTGGAAGGTCATCTGTGTGTCCTGTAACTCCGATGAACTTCTGTATTCCGGACCGGAAGAAGTGAGAAAACAACTTTGTATGTGAAAAGTTTGTCTGTTTTGTTTTGAAAGCTAATGGGCTGTATAGGCTAATGTGGTTCGTCTATAAATCCTGTATTCTATTTTTGTATTACTCGGCTGTCCATACAATACTTGTAGTTAGTCCATAGGAACATTTTGAGGCATGCGACCTGAACAACAAATGTGATTTAAACAGTGGGAGATACATCATTTGGGTTTTAAAGAAGAATAAAAAGCAGTACAATATCATTTCTCCTGCCCAAATAATGTTAATATTGTAATTTCTTGTTAAGAACTCTCAAAATGTATTCTCATTAAAATTACTTGCACTCTCATTTATATTTCATAACTTGAGCTAGTACCAAGGGATGTTTTTCATTCTTTAATTAAAACTGTCAAAGCTTGATATAGGATTGATTGAGCAATGTAGCAACTTAATGTCCTTTGCTCAAATTGTGCTTATGAATTTTAAACTAGATTTACAAAATGAAATTAAGATGGAACTGATGCAGCAATCCTAATTTCCAAGAACATCCAATCCTACAAATGCCAGCGACACCTAACCTCGGATACGAGCTGCAAATTGAAAGATACATGAATTTGTAATGACTGGGAGTCTAACATTACTGATGAGAGATGACATGAAAAATAATCAACCCCTCAATAATTCACGGACCGCCGTCGTAGAATGTTATCAAGCACTTCTCCCCCCTCGCCCTGCCGCATCCTCTTTTTTGCATTGTTTGAGAAAGAAGCCAAGATGGTGATGAATGACGTTGTAAAAATCTGAATTATCATTGGGAGCTTTGGTGGCTGGGGACCGCCATGGAGTGCATTCAACACCCCTGTACATCATGCGAGAGGGGCGCATGAATACCAATGCTGGTTTATTTTTTCGTGTGGCGGGACATCAGAAGTCAAGTCAGGTTTTCCGGCACGTCTGTGTTTTTCTGGGCAGAGATTGAGGGAGGTAGACAGACAGTACGGGAAAAGGTTGGAGAAAGAAGGAGATAGTTATTATCCCCTGATTAAATATGAGAATGTTAAAAATGACTATCATATTAACAGGAGAGATATATGGTCATGATTAAGGAATACCATAAAGGTAACAAAATAATGTAAAAGTATAATTATTTTAGAAAAATTCGAGAATAGATTGTCCAGTAGAGCAACATGTAGACGAAGCCCAATGAAAGTGTACTCTAGTATAAGAGGTCATCGATCTTTTCCTCCTAAAATAAAAAAACAGCTTGTAGAAAAGAGATTCAGGGTGATTTTTGATAGAAATGGACCAAGGAAATATTGTATAGACAATGCTGGACATGTATGGATTGCAGAAGGAAATAATGAGGTGTTAAAAATGTATGTGTAATTACCCTGTTGGTGATAAGTTGTCAAGGAAAAAGTTTTCGTGATATTCTTTGAAGACTGTGAAGTATGAAGGCTTGTTTGACGACAGTAATTTGACTGAGCAACACGTGATTCAAGCTTGTTGTCAATTACTCATAGAAAATTAGTTCAGAACTCCTGAATGAAATGTTTAATTCATAGTATAGCAGGGGTGTGTATCTCATCATCATCATTATCATTTATTAAAGCCAGCATTTTCCCTCTTACGAGGGGTTACTGACTTTTGCGCCATGATGACACTCCCTCCCTCCACTTCGTGTCTCGAGCATCCTCTTCATTTAAACCAAACTTATCGGTTTCTTTCTTCATCATATCTTTCCATGAAATCTTTGGTTTTCCTTTCCCTCTTTAATATGCCATCCACTCTCAGATCCCACACTCTTTTTACAGGTTCATCATCTTCCCTTGTCAACATATTACCAATCCATCGATGAACTTTAATGTGTCAATAAATTGGTCTGTTCAAATGACATGAAATTGCTTTCTGACTTAGTTGATATTAAGAAGAATCCAGTTTAGATAAATAGGAAGAAATGAACGTATCTTGTTTTAATGAACTTTTTAGCTTCTTGTAGCCGAATGATCGAGGATTGATAGAGATTTGCATCTATTTCTCCCTGTATGCCTCTTGATGATGGTATTCACAAGTTATTACCAGCTCATCATTATATTCAGCTGTGACATTTTGTGAGCAAGAATCAAGGCTAGATTACGATGCACCACATATCTAACTGGGTCACACACAACAGTGAATGTAAATGGAAGGTGGTTTCACACTACCGCTAGTACTGTTCCATAGTGGTGTTCACAGGTGGTGTACAACCCCTATGTGTATGATGCACCACTTATGTAACTGGATGACACATAATGAGGACTGTACATGGAAGGTTGCTTCACACTGCCACTGTACTGTTCCATAGTGGTATTTACATTGTAATGTACCATGGTGGTATTTACATTGTAATGTACCATGGTGGTATTTACATGTAATGTACCATGGTGGTACTTACAAGTAATGTACAACCCCTTTGTGTATCCATGGTGCACCATCATCTAACATTGTCAAAGATGAGTAAAGTGGCCATTGCCTCCCACTGCCATTGTTACGCACACGGCTTTGTGTTGGTGTTAACAAGTGGTGTACATACAACCCATTTGCATACTGTGCATATGAGGGACAGTGCACAGAGGATGTTCTAACCCTGCCACTGGTGTTTCCCTGCAATCACAAGTAGTGTATAATTCATCTTCAACCTAAAATGAATGGAGAGATTGCACGTCATCATTGCCATTATCTTGGGTTACAATATGATAATGAATTTCTCTTCTCATCCCCCCCCCCCCCAGCCAATAATGGAATTAACAACTAATCCTAATCTATTGAAGATTTGTCATACATCTCATCACGATGCTCATTATCCTATCCAATCTTTCCATTCTATTTTTGCCCCTGGTATATTATTAGAAGACGTGAGCTACCACCTCTGCCTTCTTCTAAGTCCTCTCTTAGTAAGGCAATCAAATAATTGACATCTCAGGCTTGCTCGACGCTGCATCACAAGTCGAGGGGAGAATCAACGTCAAACGGGACGGAATAGAACCCGTTTGCTTCTAACGCATTATTGAAAACCACCCGAGAGAAGAAGCCGTGCTTCCAGCCACGCTCATTGCGCTAAGTGAAAGATCGCAACCGACTACGCATTTGCAAATTAGTTCCTAGAAAGGACCCGAGCGTTATCCCCCATGTAAATGAGAGGAAATTACCAAGCTGTAGAACCGTCCTTCTTCCTTCGATCTTCAAGTCATCTTCTCCCATAATTCTCTCTCTCTCTCTCATTCTCTCTTTCATTCTCTCGTTTTGCATGTGGGCATTTCCATGTTAAGTGGGTACTTCTGTGATGTAAATATGGTCAAAATTGTTTTCACCCCTAGAGCAATCAAATTTCTCCCTTTGCTTGTCCAATATCTATATTCTATATATTTATGAGGGAAAAGATAAGTGTGATTTCATGTTAACTTTGCAGAGGTCGTAAAGTAGGACATGTATTGGGGGGAACGTATGTAACATTGGACAGAAATTTGTAACTTAAATTACCTCTGATTTATTATTTGCTCAATATATAAATGCAATGTTCATTCATGTGAGTTAAGTATCAATAAAACATCAATTTAACAATCATCTCAGAATTTGCTTCTTTTTAAAAAAAAATTTATAGCTTTTTTTGTGAATCAGAAAAACAAATATTTAAGGAATGTTTGCAATGTATCATGTATTATTGAATGAATAAATCTTTCACACATGTTTTAATGGTGCGTACTCTATTAATTTGGTGTCACTGTGTACTGGATGTTGATGCTATGTTCATATATTCCAGGATAAAATAAAATCTAGAAGTTATAATTGTTGATGCATGTTGGAACCAATTAATAAGAATAGGGAACGTATGTAACGGTTGGACAGAACAGGCATCTAAACGTTTGTTTGAATTCTGTTTTGGGACACATATTTCATAATCAATATATTCATAAGCGTTGCATAGGTTAAAATGTTTCATTGTATTGATCATTTTAAATTGTGGAGAATAAGTGAAATGTGAATGGTCTTTAATTATTAAGTATAATGAAATCAATGAATTTGCCAACTGATATACGGTTTGTAAATCTGTAAAATAGATTAATTGATAGTTTTGAAATCTTATCTCACCTCTCATTAATCTTTTGACCAACTGCAAAAGCAAGCAACAAACTTCAGTGTACAACTTAAATTGTCCATGGATGAACCATTTATATAAATTTATACAATTATGAACACCTGAATTGCAAATTCAAATTTAAAAAATGATAAGATAGTAACTATAGTCACATGGAAAGAAGTTGGCACAATATAGAATAAAAGGCAAACACTAATCATTTCATTGAAATTGAAATTTCACAAAACCTTATATACAAATTTAAAAGTAGTCTAGGTCTTTAATAGTCAGTAGCCAAAATGTGTCTCGGACACAGAGCCCAATAATAACAGACTGTTAAACAATTGAGCATGCATTTCACTACATGTAAGCATTAGCTTGTAATCAATTCCCATCAAGACTGGGAAAGTAGTTGACACAATATAGAATAAAAGGCAAACACTATTCATTGATATTTCACAAACATCATGTCGTTAATTACAAATTGTCTATACAGGATTTGTATGCTTTTATTCTAGAGTTCTTTTATCTGCTAACTACAATGTGTATGATATTTACCTTTTATATTTCTTCATTTTTCATAAATGCTCTATTTAATTCTATTTTTGCTCAAAATTATGATCATTCATTTCAAGTAAGTTCAAATCAAATACATGTATTTATAACAATCATTTTGATGTAATTCAGATCTGAAATTCAAAAAAGATTTGACACTGCATACTCAATGGGTTATTTTGCATATTATAATGCATCAATTCAATTGAGCATTCATTAAATATTTTCAGTAAATAATTGTGTCTTTGTGCCAATTTTCCATGAATTTTATTTGTTTTCATAACACACAAGACTATTGAGGTGATTAAAACCTTACTGAAGTACAACGTGAGAACAATAAATTAGCACGATCCAGCCATTTAATCATGTCTCCTTTTTAACATCAATACACGCAGTTCTAGGTTTTCCTCTTACACGAGAGTCAGAGAATATTGTAAGGATTTTAAAACCGATGGTTTGGGACGATATCGGGTGTGCTGGACTTTACACAAGTTCTCTGAAGAAGTTGGAATGACTCGATTCATTATTAACCAATCTATGAGTAATAAGACATTCATAAATTGTATGGAGCAAGTCATGATTCTGGGGAGAGTTCTGCAAAGGTGAAAAATTGTAATCTAGTGCTGCTGATGTCTTCCCGAAGGACAGGGTTAGGCATTTTCTTCACTATCTGTTTTCTACATTCCTGAGACACATCCTCACGTGCTGGCCATATAAATAGCCCCGGATGAGACTCCGACTTGGCCATGTACTTGATGACAAGATCTTCTCCCACAACATCTTTCACCTGAAATCAAAAGAATTAAAGATGAAAAAAATCGTGAGTTTAAAATCCATTGTGCTAATTCAAATTTAAATGTATTTGTATTTTTTTTCTTTTTTGACTTGTTCAGATTTTCTCACGTTAATAGTAATCATGCACATTTTCACTCCAAACAGATAGATATTTCCTGGTTTTGAAACATGAAGGCATTAAATGATTAACAGAAGGATTGTAAAGTATCAATGCAATGATATGACTCAGGTAATGTAGATGCAATATTTTGTATAATTTAGTGTAGGCTCAATAATGAAATAGGTCTAATTCTTGTGTATAAAATGTCATCCATTGAAAAGTAAAATAATTTATTGACTATTGTGCAGGTTATTCCAATGTTAAATAAATTCCTCAACAATCCTCTTAACAAGAAATTTGTAATGATTTTCGTATTACATTTATTTCACAGCTAAGCATAAAAATAATTTGCAAGTAAATGAAACCATACAAACTTACTTCTCCAACGTATTCCAGAATTTTTCCACGTTTGCCGACTGATAGATCTATATTGATCAATACAAAGTCTCCACATTGGTACTCATCGGCTGCTTGGTGAACATCTGCCACTGGTCTGTCGGCGGTGATCTCCACATCATTCTGGGTATCATCTCCAGTTGGTCTGGTGGTCATCACATCATTCTGGGTATCATCTGCAGCTAAATTGGGTTGCGGTTGCACCTATTGAAAATGCGAGATCGGCGAGAGTTACCAGTGTTGCATACATGAAAAGCTACATATGGGACTGTAATGTAATAATATCACTACACGTTAAAATTTAGCACTAGCAGACCACTAGCTAGACAAGAAGAGGAAAATATAATCGTACACCACTAAAGTTACACATGACTCATTTTCGGAAACATGATCTTTTACTGTATTTCAAAAAGATTTTGAATAACAAATACGTACCATTCCACGATTTTCAAAGCCTAGATCTAATCTAATGTTGAGTTGATACTCCAATGATTACGATCGGATGTCGTCTGCTGCTCACGAAACCCCGCGAAAAAACGTACGTAAATAAGACCGAATAGCATTTCTGTCCATCGTGCGTACGTGTCGTTCTAACTACCAGCAACCGTGAACGTACGCACAAACTGGACAGAAGTTATATAGAGCTACACGGCCCCGCGATTGTAGAAGTCAGCGCATGGATTGCAAGTACAATCAAACGTTGCAGTGCCTTGGTTCACTTGACTGATACGTGGATTATCCATGCGTCATATTCGCGGACGCCACGGTCCGTTTTTTTAGTTGTTACGTACGTTCGTGAGTTGGACCGAATATTGCACTCCAAATTTTGAATAGATTTGATCTCTATTTGCGTTTATTTTGACGATTTTTTTCTTGGTCTACATTTCAACCTTCATCAAAAGAGTTGCAAAGCACATAAAACTGTTGGGTGACACAACTAATAATTGTGGGAAAATTCACTCTGAACGTACGTAACACAGGTGGACAGAATCTCTCATTCAGCCAATGTAATTTTCAACTCTCTCACTCTCTCTCTTTAAAGCTCAATCGCCGTAACTATGATCAATGCCGTAATCCACCCGCATCAAAATCTCTTTTCAAAACATGAAACATCAATTTCTTTTTAGAATTTTTATTTGCATCACCCTCAAAATCACACCACTCAACAATTACTGATTGTACTTTGGAATTTTTAATAATAATCATTAAAGAAAAGAGGACAACACAACCAAATGACATTATTAGTGCATGGAATTGTCTTTTTTATTTCTTTATACCATCAACAATGAAAATAAAAACACAGAAAGCCACAGGATATTTCTTTAATTTTTCTGTGAGCGCTTTATTCTTTCACACACAGAAGTACCCTATTACCGTGGAAATGCCCATATATCTCCAAATGATATTTCATTATCAGCATACTTTTTTCTTGATCACTCTGGTCTCCTTTGCTTTTCCCATCTCATTCTTTTTCACTCTCTCTCTCTTTCTCTCCCTCTCTTTCTCTCCCTCTCTTTCTCTCTTCTCTTTCTCCCCCTTCCCCCTCTCTCTCTCATCAAATCTCTTTCTCTCCCCTTCCCCCTCCTCTCTCTCTCTCTCTCTCTCTCTCTCTCTCTCTCTCTCACACACACACACACACACACACACATTTATTCTCTCCTCTTCTCACCCCTTTCTTTCATCTCTATCTACTTTTCTATCTGTCTATGTATCTATATACATATATATACCTCCCTACTTATCTATATACCCGATGAGTTCTTCCTTGATATACCTATCTATCTATCTATATACCTATCTATCTATCTACCTCCCTACTTATCTATCCCTCCTTTCCGCCTTCACTTCTTCACTGTCTATCTATCTCCACACCCTTCTCCTTCCACTCACATAGCCATCCATGCATGATCATACTACTAGTTGCCTTGTCGCTCTGTAATCTCCTGGATCTGTCTCGGATTAAACAGCTCTGATTTGACAAACCACAGGAGGAAGTAATTGATGTTAATGAAGTCGTTGGACCGTGCAATTCATCCTCTATTTTTTTCTAGCAGCCTGTGTAATGAGGCCGTAGTCCAGTAGCTCGGAATTTGTATGATGTTATTCATTGGTCGCAGCCAGCATGTTAATTCAGCCATTTTACGACTGATACCATCTCATGCAATTTTAATCAGTGTAACACATTTTATTTGTTTTTCTTCCAATTCCTCTCATTTTGGGACACTAATTGATTCATACTGCATCAGGCTTTTGTTGAATTATCAGACTGCAAACTAATTGATTTAATTTTTTTCATCTTTTGGCTGCAATGTTTACATCTTCATGAGATTTCATGAGTTACTTAAACCTAGTCGCAAAGGTTTTGTTAATCAAAAGACGTGCTCTATGGAATAATTTTTAAAAATGGAAATAAAAACTGCTCAGATTGTCTGGAGGTTAGATTTTCAGGGATGTTAGTTTTCAGACGATTGTCTGTGGCTTCATTACTCATATCTAGGCTAATGTAGACTTCTTGTACTGCAGATTAGATGGGGCTCCAATTTGTCTAGGTCTTTTTGTTTCAGGCTCACAGAGTGAAATCAACATTATCCAAGTTCAAAACAGATACTAAAGTGGTATTCATAGCTAGGCAGATGGTATAATCATTAGGCTACTATTCCACTTCTTCGCTATTAAATGTATAGCGCTCATGTCTATAAAACTTGACACTCCTGGTGCTCGACAATTATTACCTCTGCTTTATAGCATGGCTGCCATTATGGATTTATGGCGCTGTAGCATTTGAAGGAATTAATTCCTTCCAGGTACCCATATATAAACCCTGTGGTTTACAGTCCGGTGACTTATCCGAGAGACCACACCATCTCCACACATGATTTCAAATAGCCATTGGTAAACATCTGCTGTGGTCAATTTTAATTTGATCACTCAGTGGCAACCATAATTTAGTTCATTTCAGACTATTTCTGACTCCTGGGATTCTTAGTACAAATGCACTTCTGACAAATCCCTTCATGAGAGGTTCTCGCAAGGTAATAGACAGATGTGACATACATCACAGGGACTCTCTGTAGACAATCGACACATGGCTTCATTATTTATATTACTGTCTGCTCCTGACGATGACAAGCAGCGGGTGGCAAAGTGGTCCATGTCATCGTCACATGAAAAGGATAACATTCATGTTGCGGCTTACATGGCTATCAGTGACATCAGGCCAGATTGTGTACACAGTGATGTGATGTCGTGTTAACATGGCTTGGATTATCGATGACAAGAGGTGGATTTGGTGATCACCGACATGAAAATAGGAGGTGTCAATCATCGATCCAACCCACTTCCATGCCACACCTGCGTTTGATAATGGAATGCACCATGATTGCATTTCATCTTTTCGTTCTTGGCCCATTAGATCGGAAGATTATGTAGGGCAAATGTGGTTATGATTGAACATGTGTCCCTCGGTTGTTCATGTCCGTTTGGATATATCTGTGTCGTGTCAATAATTGATTGATTTGCTTTGAGATGGTTTCATTATTCACACATGGGCTATTCAATGTAGAAATAGACTTACCATCCCAATGTCATTTCCATGGCACATACATGAATCATTTAGCATTTGGACACGAGTCAAAAATATTTGTGTTTATGTTTATACATATTGTAAAATGTTTTATTTGGGTTACATCAATATTTGATATGCAGTAAGATGGTTTCAATCCCACAAGTGCAATTCAACTCATCAGACTTGGTATATTGGCCCCCAGAAAATTCAATTCCATACAGTGTACAGTAACTGGTCTATGAAAGCAAATAATTTTTCAATACCCTCCTTTGTTCTACTGATTCAATCCCACAGCTCTTACTTTAAGCAGGTAGCAAATGAAAGAACAAGAAATATAGACAAATTATTTTTTTGAAGAATATGCATATTCATAAATGTATGTCCTGAATACTGTCTTAATGAGTTTTCAAGATGATTTTTCAAAACTTGTCTTCATTCGTTCCATTGTTTCTTGCATACAGCATGGTGTAACTCCGATCATTTGGGCAGCAGGACGTGGTCACAGTGGAGTGGTAGCGGCTCTTCTTACTTCGGGGGCAAAGGTCAATTCTGCTGACAAGGTGAGTACCTCCATCTTCCTCATATCCTCTCATCTCGTTTAGCTCATCCATCAACTCCTTATTTTCATGTGCTTAAATCCTTTTATTCACTGTGCGTATTCTCTTTCCTTTCTTTCATCTAGCTTCTTCCTTCTCTCCTCTTTTCATTCTTTCTCTTCCCCATTTTCTCTTCTTCCCTTCCCCAGGGAAAAAAATACTTTAACAATTTCAGGGGCTACTTTTCAAGCTTGCTTGCATGAAAATAACGCTCTTTAATTTGTATTGCATTGAACTCTATGCAAATTTTTTTGGGCTCTTTTATGACTTGTGGGGGCTCTTTTGGGCATTTCAGGGGCTAATTCGCCCGAGCCCCCGTGTATTTTTTTCACTGCCCTTCCCTCTCTTCCTCCCTCTTTCTCTTCCTCATGTCTCCATTCTCTCATTTCCTTTATACCTCCCCTCCTCTCTCTCTCTGCCTTATCCCCCTCCTTACCTCATCTCATTTTCTTCCTCTCTTCTTTCCATCCCTCCTCCCCCCCCCCCCCCATTCATCTCACTCTATTCTCCCCTCTCGGTCTCCATCACCTCTTCCCCATTTTTCTCTTCCTTCCTCCTTCCTTCCTTCCCTCTTCCTCCCCCTTCCTCCCCCTTGTCTTCCACAACTCCCTCCAATCCTTTCCTTATTAGCATTTATTTATCCTATGTTTTAAATGTATATGAATGTGAGCTACATTTTCTTAACTTAACCACTCACTATAACTTTCTTTGTTTTTCTTTGACAGTATGGTACATCTGGTTTGGTATGGGCGGCCAGGAAAGGCCACACGGATTGTGCTAGACTTCTCTTAGAGCATGGTGCTAATGTTGATATGGCAGGCATGGTAAGTGAATTTGAATTAAATCAAAGATAATGAAGGGGCAGTATAAAGTTTTTTGTAGATACAACACTTAAATTGTTGCATATAGGACTGAGTAAAACCTACTTTTTAAAATAAAAACCACTTTCAGAAATGTTTTTATTTTGTGCAATATACATACATGGAGTCATATTCATGCCATTCATATAGTACCCATTTAAATTTTAGACTACTATTTTGTAGATAATTTGTTGCAAGCATTAAAAAAGTGAGACCAAAATGTCAAATCACTTATGATTACCCGCATCCATTCTGGCTGCATTTGTTTGAACCCAATAGGTTTTGCTAGGCTACTTAAAACAACAGCCTTTTGTTAAGCTATCTAAACATCATAGAATGGGCTAGCATGAAATGCCATACAGTAACATGAAGATGTGATAGAGAGACAGAAGAATATAATTCTTGTTTATCAGACATTTTTCTTTGAAGGTACTGTTAAACATGATTATTTCAGGGTCTTAAGGCAAAATCATTTAGCCAAGATAGAGCTAAGGGCAGCACCATATCTAAGATAAGATATAGAGTGAATAACTTTCATCAACAAAAATGTTTTTAAATGGACCAGTAGGGATAGATTCTTGATTGTTTCTTGAACGTGATCTCCAAACCTTCAAGCATCTTGCTTGGTTCATTAGTTGCATGGGACTTCATCAGGATAAATGGCTCTGAATAATTCACTGCGGCGCTTGTTACTCCATTACCCGGCGACTTGCGGCCAGAAGTTGAATAATGAGTGGATCGACTCCACCTCGTCTTGCTGTCCTGGGGGGTGTTTCACAAAGCCTTTTTTCAATGACAAATGACAAAAAATAAGTGACAAATCTGCTGATAATCAATCAGGAGCAAGGATTTCAGTAGCTTGTAACATTTGTCACTGATGACAAGTTTTGTGAAACGCCCCCCTGGACTCACCAAACTCCCAAATCAATCACGGGTTATAATTACCAGCAAATTACTCCCTAACCGGACTCAGTGTGCGGTCTGAATGAGGATGGGTGTCTGTACTGTGGCTAGAGTGTGAATTGGTGGGGCTGTTCACACCATTGGATGTGTGGTGTTTGGTCTACTGTCTAAAATCTGATGTTAACACAATCGTTACCTCGGTTAGGTAATTTAGCAAAATGTAGTATAGTATGAACAGAGCATTATATGTGACATGGATGAAATAAAGCCACTGCTCATAGTTATAGTATGAACAGAGCATAACATGAGACATGGATGATATAAAGCCACTGCTCATATTATAGTATGAACAGAGCATGATATTTCAAGATTCAAGATAATTTATTGTCATGTAAAAAATACTTCTTTTTTTCCCCAGACCTTTGAACATAACATTTAACGATCATAAAGCCACTTCCGATAGTATAGTATAGTATAAACAGAGCATTACATGAGACATAGATGATATAAAGCCACTGCTGATAGTATAGTATGAAGAGAGCATTACATGAGACATGGATGATATAAAGGCACTGCTGATAGAGGTAGTTCAGTATGAACAGAGCATAACACGAGACATGGATGATATAAAGCAACTGCTGATAGTATAGTATGAACAGAGCATTACATAAGTCATGGATGATATAAAGCCGCTGCTGATAGTGTAGTATGAACAGAGCATAACATGAGACATGGATGATATAAAGCCACTGCTGATAGTATAGTATGAACGGAGCATAACATGAGACATGGATGATATAAAGCCACTGCTAATATTTTAATGTGAACAGAGCATTATATGGGACAATGATGATATTTCAAGATTCAAGATAATTTATTATCATGTAAAGAATACATTAAATTCGTTTTCAGACATTTGAAGGTGCATACATGTAAATAAATAAATAAATACATAAAAAATAATTACATTTTAACATAAAATTTAACAATCATAAAGCCACTGCCGATAGTATAGTATGAACAGAGCATTACATGAGACATGGATGATATAAACCCACGGCTTATAGTAATGTTAACGGACCATAACGCGAGACATGGTACATGACAAAGAACCCCCGTCCCTGATAGCAATTGACACGGTGATAACTCTTCATGGATCTCTTCAAGGTCATGAGTTAGTTTGCGTTGCATGTTGAATAATCGAAAGAGACAAAGAAGTAATTTGTCGGCCATGTGATGTATGTAGCGAGGCAGACAAGAGAGCTGTCCGTGAATTGTTTTTCTTAATTACACCCTCAGACAGGCACACTTTGATCTTCATGGCTGGGTTCTTAGAATGATGGTGGGGGCATCGGAGGTGACTTTAGCTTTTTTTTAAAGACATGTTGAAAATACTGTCTGGTGGGAGATAGGAACAATTGTTACATGAGCGGTGACAATCGCATACAATTCCTCTTATATTTCTGACCTAGTTCTGATAATTCTGAAGTCATTCAATCCATGGCACTCAAAATTCTCTATGTAGAAAACTGAAAAATCAACATTGACTTCAACTTTCTTAATGATAAATATTGATTGCATTTGGAAATGTTCAATCCACCCCTCCCCATTTTTGATGGTACACCCTGTATAGCATTAATGTGCCCTTCTACTATTCATTTAGTTTCTTATTTCCATTTTTTTTTTAAGGGAGGGGGGGGGGGCACCATCCTTTCAATCTGGTTCATGCATGAACCTTGCTAAAGGCCCTGCCATTGATTCTTTCATTATATACCAACACCCAAAACAAAGTTTGTCAGAACATGTCTCATGCACATTTCTAGAAATGGAAGCTACGCCATTTTAACTATCGCATATTATCCAGTTAATTTGCGTCTTCATCATTTGGCAAAATATCCCGCCTATTGTCCGTTGCGTCTTCACCAGCCATAAGACTTGCACTCTAGCTAATTTCTCGAGCTCGAGTTTTCGAGTCTCGAGCTGATGAGGACGCGATTTGTAACTTTGGATTATTTCCCAAATCAGAATTAGCGGGCTATTTGGCAATCTCGAGCTGATGAGGACATACCTATTGTGAAAACACCTACCCTCCATTTGAAAGTATTGAAAAAGATTCATCCTTGATCTCATTCCATTTGTAACAGTCACACCCAGTGCACCTCCTGTGCTCAACAAGATACCCATGTAGGCAACACATAGAGCATGAAATGAAAGTCGAGTTCCATTAGTCATGATCGTAGGAGGGAATGAAGGGGGGGGGAGGGGTGGAGTGTGAAGACATCTCCCTTGGTATATATGGTTTCTGATATCAAGAGCTATAGGCAGTTATTTATGAGGATTAAGCAATAATGGTGACAGCAATTCGTCCTTGTTTTCACGAAGTGACGGTAGTGAGGAAAATCGTAACGGAAAGTGAATGCAATTTTTTTTCACTACCGTCACTTCGTGAAAACAGCGACGAATTGTCCACTTATTCTTGCCTGTATTACAAAGAAAACGTGAGGAGGGGGGGGGATGAGGTCATCATTTGCGATATATATCCGATTTGTACCACACAGATCTCTGACCCGCCGTTGTTCAGAGCATCAAGTGTGATGATAGCAAACTGATTAGCCATCATTTATTAAGAGTTAGAAAGAGAAAATAGATTTCCATTTTCCTCATGATAGTGGGAAGGGGTGGGGGCACCATACCCGATGTTTAGTTGGGCAACTCACTCGGTTTATCAGAATGCCACTACCGAGATGCCCAACTTGCCACCATTTGAAAATGATCATAGTGTGTAGATGATAGAAAATAAAATGAAAGTAAATTTTCGATTTAAATTTGTCCATGCTAGTGGGACTGAATTGGGAGAGATAGGGGGGGGGGGGGGTCATCTTGTACATTCAAGTTCAAATACAAAATATGTTATTGATAACAATCCAAATAAATAGGATCATTCTCAAATTGTTATATCAATGGATAACTAATTTCAAAGTTAAAGAGTAACATAGATAATTGAATGCAAAATTCAAAAAGTCTTGTATGATGTATCAAATATCTATTACATACGATACATGTAGCTCTCTTACCCGCTCGATTTGTGAGGATCAATCGATGATAGTGGAGTCGATTGTCCTCAGATTGTCTGCTAATTCTTTCGTAGAACACAAAGAGAATGTAGATTTCGATTTTTCACGAGAGAGAGGGAGGGAGGGAGGGAGAGAGAGAGAGGGAGAGAGAGAGAAGGAGAGAGAGAGAGAGAGAGAGAGAGAGAGGGGGGGTCCTAGGGCAAGGTGTATCATGTTTCTACCACCTACCTACCTACCTACGTACGTCTCTGACCCTCCTTCGTTTGTGGGGATCAAGCGATGATAGCGTCGCCGATTGTCCGGGAATTCTCGCATCTTCCTGTCGGGCTCTATTTCCTCCCAAGACACCGTCGGAATTTATGCTTTTTCCGGCGTGATGAGGAATTCTAAGTGAATCTCGCCGAATTAGGGAAAGATGTGGTCTGAACTGGTTTGACGGCGTCATCACATTCATACAATGTCACGTATCTATGGCAATGTATTAAACAGAGAGGTCCTTTCATTGAACTTCAAAAAGGTCTCTGATATTTTTGAAAACATCTGAGTGAACGAGACATTTCGTTTGGTGAATAAAGTTTGAAAATGTAACAAAAGGAAAAAAAATTGTGACAGTTGACAAAAAAACATTTATCATTCCAGCTTGTAGAAATGAAATTTTCCCCTTTGATTTTCTTAGTTTTCTAAATTCATTTAGCTATCATTAAGACAACAATGGTTGTACTGCACTACAAACTTTTCAGTTCTTGTATTTTCTTCCATTTTTGATACTGTTGCCCATAATAATAAAGGTAAAAGGGGACATTAAATTCACTCTCATCTCAATCTGGATGTATGAACAAAATCTCTTAAATATATTTACTCACATGTTTTCAAAAATATCTATGAGCTGTTTGCAGAGAAGAGAAACATATATTTAAAATGAAAATGGTAGCATGAATCAGGGGGAGTTGGATACATGTACAGTATCTGTTTCTTTGCTTTCTGTCTGTTGTCTAGTTATAATTACCGCTTTTGAGCATTTAAATCGAGAGAGTGGAGATATTCAAAACTAGGTTAACAAGATAAAAACCCTTGCAAGGACCAAGGTGAAAAGACATCGATAGGCATTTTAAAAGGGACACTTATCTTTTGATGGTCGCGGGGAAACCGAAACCAGCGATACTTCCCGTCGCTACCCACAAAGCATCTCTCGATGTGAAAGGGTCAGAGGCTTGGAAACTTAATTTGGATTCGGAGAGCGGTGTTGAGTTTACCGTGCTGGATCTGGCCGAGGCCGGGCCCATATGCTGGTGGCACACAACGATGCATTAGCGGTCCTCTAAATTATCACTTAATGCCTGTTTAGCCGCACTGATGTATGCTTATTAACTTAGTAGCTGTGTCTCTTCTCTGCTTCTGCATAATTCAATACAGGGTGTATGTGGCGGTGTGGGGTATGAGATGTCATACATTTACATACAATCACCCACTTGAAATGATTTTGTTTCTTTTTATACAAACTGAGGCGCTGTTCCCATTGCCTCTTAATACTTTACCCATATCCAAGTAGCATCATTCCTATTTTAGGCAGAGAATACATGAGCATGCATTATCAAGTGGGTTTACATGTATACCATTAGCATACAGTATTGTTACACATGTTATGAAGGTACTGTTCGTATGTATGATTACAGTAGTTGGTGAATGTATTATCCATGGGAACACTCCTAAGATACATATCAGTCGCACACACTTCAGGATGAACCCCCGTTTTAAAGGGGGGTCAGTACCTAGTCAGAACTATTGATGTCATGGTATGATGGATGTGTCTCCATCATATTCACATCATGGCTAAGATATTTCCATCTCTTACTCATCATCGCTAGACAACACGCTTCAGCTCGTCAACAAATCCTGCAGTGTACACGATCCCCTCAAAAATATATATTGGTGTAATAGTACAATTCAAACCTGCTTTAGTGACCACCTCTCTACAAAGACCACCTCTCTACAATGACCACATTTTTTGTTTCCCTTAAAAATGGTTTGTCATTGACACATGTACTAAAGGAACCTGTACATAAAGACCACCTGCCTATAATGACCACTTTTCTTGTCTCCCTTGTGTGGTCTTTATAGACAGGTTTCACTGTAATAACAAAAGTAAGAAATGTTGGCCTTTTTGACCTGAGAATTTTTTTTTTCAACATGTCTCTACTTACACATCTACTATAGATAAACAAAATTAGTGGATTTTTAAGAAACAAAATTAGTGGATTTTTAAGAAACAAAATATAATTATTATTATTATTATTATTATAATCATTTCAATTATTGTTATTATTATATAATCTTGTTTATTTTCAGAATTCCTGGACAGCCCTGTTGGTGTCAGCAAGAGGAGGGTACATGGATGTGGTCCGAATGCTGTTAGAAAGACACCCTAACATCAACGCTGTGGATAAGGTCAGTATCTAATGTTGTTTGAAAGTACAGGGGAGTGTTTCACAAAGACTAATATCAACTTTAAATTGGATTTAACTATGGCAGGCCATTGATGCCACTGTTTTCTCTCACCATTATGATCTTTAGATGATATTATTTCCTTCAATAATGAATTATTGCAATATGTGCATTCTGTTGATTTTTTACCATGATTTGTACGTCCCTTGAGATACCAATGCCAGTAAATGGTGAGAGTAAACAGTGGCATGAACGGCTCGCCATAGATAAGGCCAACTTAAAGTCAATATTAGGCTTTGTAAAACATCCCTGAGGTTTGCATGGCAAAAATATAACTTACATTTGAGATTTGCCATACAACTCTGTGGTTAGTCCTCAAAAGGACAGTTAACCTGTCCAAAACGTGGAGTCTTTATTGATTCTCAGGGTGTTCGGTATGATGATTACAATCACCATGAATGAATTAGAATTATTTCATATGTAATATGTACCATACAATTTCTGTCAATTGTCAGTCTACATGTAGATATTGTATTAGAAAACTTTAGGTGGAACCTTGGAAAACTGATTACATTGTTATCAATACAAGGCCATATACCACTCCGAAATCATGAGCTATTATGTTCATATGGAAATTTTTAATTGTATCAACACTTTCATGAATCACTGTAATATCAAGTATTAACTTTTCCGTTAGCAGGCCCTGAAGAAATAGATTGGGATCGATGTATGTGCAGATGTTTCTCCTTTTTATTTGTAATTCATGTGCACTCATCACAAGGGCTTTTTTCTAGCAAGGATGAAAAGATATCCTGTGAGCTCTTTCTTCTTTTTCATTCCAGCGCATTAAGTTTGTTGTTGCTAATGGTGACAGTATTTTACCAGACATGTTCTTCCGGACTTTTGTTTGATTTTGAATAGATCGGTTTCCTATAATAGGTTGTAACAAGAAACAGGTCACATGCCCTCTTCCTATTCTTGTTTAGAAGATAGCAATCAAACTGGCTCTCTCTCTATCTCGTCCTTCTTGACACATCTCAAATTTGTCTTTCAAATGAAACCCCAGATAAGCAGTTGACAACTTCAGTCATGCCCCCAGCACCCTTTTATGCACAGTCAAGAACTGAATTAAGCGACTGCATGCAATACATCTCATCTCACTGGACACTAGCATACCTCCTATACATGTGAAGGTTCATTCGAATGTCAAGTCAGCTCTTGTTTGTTCATGCAACTCACACTGGTCGGTCGGTATCTTCAGCGATGCCTTTGGCTGGCTGAGTATGTAAACAAATACTGAATTAAGCCCGCCAGTTTCAGGGGCGCGCGGGCTAACCTTGGCGAGATGGTGGCAGGGAGATTGTGCGTGAACGAACTTTGAAGTGTGTTTCTTTCTGCATAGCGCGGGCTTCCTTGACTTTGGAAAGCTCAGTGGTGGGGATATTGTTGGAGTGCTTTTTCAAGAAATAGAGATGACAAGAGCAGGTGTATAGCTTTCAGAAGGGATTTCAGGTGGAATGGACCAAGGGCAGATACATGTACCATTCAGATTTGGATCTGTTCAACAATTGGAATGCTTTCTGGAATTTTGTTTCACTGAATTAACACATATATGAAAACATTTGTGAGAAAATAGCAAGAATGGTTCAGCAAATCATATTATTCAGCTAGACAATATATCAAACTTTAGAAAGATAATGACTCTTGGGAGGTATACCCCAATAGAAAGTGTGTACCTCCAGTCCCCCCCCCCCCTTCTTATCAGATCTCCCTTCTCCTTCATGGTTTGTTAACCTTGAGGAGAACTCATTTGCATCACACATCGCTCCTTCCTTTTCCATGAGAATACAGATCTCTGGTCCCATAATCTAACCCCCTCTCCTATAGTCTCCCAACTTTATTTTTCCCCCATCCAAACTCCATCTCCCTCAGTCTCATCCCTCCCAGTTTACCATAGAACCCGAGCACCTCCCTCCCTCCCTCCCTCCCTACCTCCCTACCTCCCTACCTCCCTCCCACCTCCCTAATCCAATCTGTTCTCTTAATTGAGCTCATTCCTACCACTTGTCATCACTCCGGTGTCTATTCCATGGTAGAGGAAAGGTTGGATGACCCCCATCCCTTCCAACTCCAGTCCATCTCAAAGACCTTTAGAGAAGACAAGTACTGTTATGATTGATGGTGCGCTATGGCAACGGAGATGATGTATGCAGAGTGCATCCCTTTTGTTTTGACAGTAGTTTCCCTGCGTTTTCATGCTGAGATGCAGAGGGGGGATTGTTTGCTCTCAAGCTATTCCTGTTTATCAATGTTCAGAGGGGGGTCCTTTTATGTGATTGCACTGCATAAAGTCTGCAGTACATCTACAGTTATTACAGTGTCATTACAACAGATCTTCCATTTTGTTTGGTCCGATTTCATTCAAACTTTTCACCTGTCTTCTTCTCTGAATTTTCTGCTTTCCTCTAGAATAGTTTGCTATCAAAGTCGGATTTCTCTTAAATCATTCTCAGTACAGGTTTCACAGAAACTGACAACCACATTTGTGTCATTTTTTGTTACATTGTCTCCCTAATTTCACACAAAATCTTGTTTTTTGTATATATGTACACTTGTCTGCTGATGTATTCTTATGCCCAAATTAACAAAGGGAGTTAAATCTTATCGCATGTTTTAAAATTCTATGAGCATTGTGTTCAAATTTCTTCATTTCAAATGAAAGGGCAAAAACTGTTTGTATGCTTATTTTAGTCCAAGGTAGAGGTTCAATCTAATCTAATCTAATTTAATCCTCCTTTATGAATTGGAGCCTTACAGTAAGAATGAAACACATGTGCATACACAAAATTTAATGTTGCATCTCATTGTGTCCTGGGTGTAGAAAAGCATGAGAACACAAGAGAGGAAAGGGTCACATAATTCCTTTGCCCTTTGCTTACTTTGTTTACATCTAATCCTCATACCCGTATCATCTTTTGTTTTCCTGCAGGATGGGTTGACGAGCTTGTGCTGCGCTGCCATGGAAGGTCACACAGAGGTCACTGAACTGTTGCTGAATTCAGGAGCCTACGTCAATATACAAGACAAGGTGAGTCCGTGCATGCGTCTGAAAGGGAGGTGATTAGTTGCCTAGTAACCAGTTATGAAATATCATCTGTTTAATAATAATCCGTTCTTGTATAACACATAATGATATAATGTCCCTATGCGCTTCGAAAGAGCTTCGGAAATGATTACCCTAGCTCTAGCTCTGGCAGCCATTATCAGCGCACAGTGCATTTTAAGGAATAATCCTACCCAGGTAACCATTTACCTCATCTGGGGGAGTGTGGCAAATGTAGATTTAAGTCTTGCCAAAGGACGTTAGGATTGTGGCAGGGAGTGTTTGGACTTTAGAGCCAAAAGGGTGTTTACTCCTATCATTTTCAACTGAGTTAATGCCCTTCTGGCTCCAAACAGATGATATTCCTCTCATTATTCTTCATCATTTCCAATGCTGTCAGAGTTTCAGTTAATCATTTTCTCTCTATTAGAAGTAGTATTCCCTATTACCCAAGCCTTGTTCAAACTCCTTTTATATACGAGGGAAAGTCCATAAGTATTTGGTCAGTTACAAAGTAGCGTTTTGTGTCCCATAAGTTACCAAGTAGCATAGATTATTCAATATGATTCACATCGTGTCATGTTTCACCTGATCCAAGCTTTAATCAGGATCTGAATTCATCACAATCATTAGGTGCACTTAATTTTGTTTTATTGTTGGTGAAGTTTTTATGACAGAACACTCTGGACTCACCCAAAATTTGAAATTTAATATTGACTTTGTGCTTATGAATGAAAATGTAATGTTGTGGTCATGAATACAAACTTGAGGTTTGTTTCCATGTTGACTATGTTGATGTATGAAGAGAAAAAATGCACCTTTCCTCGGGAGTATATGGTGGAAGCCTCTGGCAAGAAAGATAGGAATGGAGAAATGCTCTGAATGTGGAGCCCTACTTCTGAATGTGATTAAAGCTTGCGTGATTGGGAAGATGTTGTGAAGGAATAGAGAATGAAGCAATTTCTCAGATTTCATCAAAGCCGCCCTACGTGTCAGATGTAATTGTAGAGCTTAGTGAATGGGCTCTGAGATTGGATCAGAGATTGGTGAACTGGGAGGGTGAGGAAGGAAGAGGGGGAGAATGAGAATGAGCATGAGTGGAGAGAGAGAGAGAGAGAGAGAGAGAGAGAGGAAGAGAGAAAGAGAGAGAGAGAGAGAGAGAGAGAGGGGGAGAGAGAGAAGAAAAGAGATTGGGTATCTGGACGAATATGAAATTATGAAAGGAGGAGACATACAGAGAGAGGGGGTGGGGGAAGAGGGAGGGAGAGAGAGAGAGAGAGAGAGAGAGAGAGAGAGAAAAGGGGGGGGGGGGTGAAATTGGGGTATAGGCGAATTGATATTGAATAAATAAAGGAAAGATGGGATATGTGACATACGCAAGAGAAGGATAGAGAGAGAGAGAGAGAGAGAGAGAGAGAGAGGGGGGGGGAAGGGGGGGGGGGGTGTTAAAGAACATTATTAATAATTATAAATTGTGGAAAGACAGACAGTACATTGAAGATAAGAAATATACATACATGTAGAAATAAAGTAAATTACCAATATAATTAGCCTGTTATCATGCCCCTATTAAAGAAAACAGGCGTGTTTCTCCCTACATTACAATTCAAACAAAGAAAATACAAACCAGTCCTATGAAGAAAGCACCTTTTGATTTTAGTAGTCATGTAGTAAGCATATATACATTCATGAATTACACCATAGAACCTGTTCACACATGCTCTCTCACAACAAGCAGAAAAGCAATGCGCACTACGGCTCCTGATGTGAACACCCCATCCCACCGCTGCCATACCCTAGAGTTCTGAGGTATAGTGGAGGGCCCTGTTCACACGTGCACTCTCACAACAAGCAGAAAAGCAATGCGCACCACAGCTCCTGATGTGAACACCCCATCCCACCGCTGCCATACCCTAGAGTTGTGAGATATAGTGGAGGGCCCCTTCCATGGGTGTTTGCCCTGCCCGGATGCGTGATAAACTATCAGAAATCAGACACCGGCGGGCATGCTCTATTCTAACAGCACAGGCATACGAGGGCGACAGACTAGGCATCCGATATGCTGCCAGCTATTAAAGAGAAGCATCTCGTTTCAACGCGCCTTCTCCCCGCTCAAGTGCTCTGCAAATTCAGAAGCCCAAAAAAAACCCAAGCCGGTCTTCAGAGTGGCCATCCAGATGAGAAAGGGGGTGCTACTTCAAGTGCATCAATTGTGGCTACAATTTGGAGGATGGGCAGACGGGTGAGGGGTCTTATTTCGCTTGGTCGTGCCGTATTTGCGACTTTTGTGCTCGGGTTATGAAAAATTTGCTTATTGCCCACTTCGATGACCCAGTTTGAACCATATTGCCTTGCAGGATGTTCATATGAATGCTGAATATAGTTGGTTTGTTACTTCTAGAGCATTTAATACAAACTATTTCTTGGAGGTATACTATATTTTTTACCAAAGAATATAACTATATAATATGGTAATAATGTACCCGGTGCATTGTGCAGAGATGCCAGTCTTCAGACTTTTGCCTGATTTCAGGTCCTGACAACTTCCCATTTCAGGCTTTTTCAGGCTTTATATCGTACAGGACATATGGGGCTTTAACTTGTTCTAGCTTCTTTTCCATCCATGATTGTGCAACAATCTTTATTCTTATCTATCCTGCAGGGTCTAAAAGAATGTTCAAATTAGTAGTATGTGATCTAACGTTTTTTCATGCTAAGGTAATCTTTATTCTGGCATTACTCCATTCCTACCTCTCCAAAAAGTGCCCTTCACTATTATGTATGTCTGTATAGATGTTCTCAATAGACACATATTCAAATCTTATGCATATTTATTAAACAAATTTGATCAGAGGCTAGCCCAACATAGCAACAAGTCATCTGTGCAGACTGGATTCCAAGTACAGTACTTAATAAAGGTTCATGGAAAAATCGTCACTAGGTCCCCAGGAAAGAAACAACCATAAATTTGAATATGTTAGTAAACTGGTCGATTGGTTATGAAGGAAAGGGGAGTTATACGCCTCCTATCCAATCTCGAAAATGCAAGTTCTAAGAAAATGTAATTACTCACGGGTTGTCTTTCTTTTTTTTTTAATGGAAGTAGTTGGCTTTTCCAAGTATTGTATTTCATTCATTAATAAAGGTTAATGGATATAACTTGTCACAAGGTCCCCAGGAAAGAAACATCCGTACGTTTGAATATGTTAATGTTTTTTCAGCGTCATGCCACAGGTACACCATTCATCACTGGAGATTCCCCTTCCCTTGCAGTGAGAAAATGACTGCTAAGCACAGAATAGGCCATCAAATTTTATGCACAAAACTTTGTTACGCACCTCGTTACAAATCATTTCCTTCACCCGTTACGAATAATTGTATTGCAATAGTCAGAATGCGAGCTGCATACATAATATGTTGTTTGGCAGGACAAGCCATAATTTTTGTCTTATTGAGCAGCAATCAATACATGCATTTCGCATTCTGACTATTGAAATACAATTATTCATAACATGTAATATGTGCTTAACCTTTGAAAGGAAAGGCATACAGGAATACATTCCATTTTTATCCTCTGCTGAAAGCCAGAAGGGCAATTTTAGCTTTTTGTCAGCATTAAAGTCATCCCCCTTCTGATTCTCAACGGAAAATGAATTATAGAAACATCTTACTTTCCAAGGAAATCAGACCCTCGGTAAGACCCTTTGAATATTTCATGGCCGTACTTGAGACATGTGATTACCCTATAAATTTGTTTCATGTTTCAACGTCGCCCTCTATCACCCACTCAAATGGAGTTTTACGGCGGGATTAGGTTCCATAAATTGCGTACGGAGAGTGCTTGAAGTCCAACCCTTGGTTTATGTACGAGTGACGCTTCCCTTTCTTATCTGTTTGATAATCTCAATGATTCAATGCAGTTACATCTACAAGAATTAAGACAGCAAACACTGTCTTTTAACATTGAAGTACTTATTCCCCAGAATAATGGAAATTGCAGAATTATTTTGGTAGAAACATAATCCGTGAAATGGTTTGAGCAACATCCGACACTTTCGGAAAGGCAATGACCTGAAGGGCTACAAAAGAATTGTTGGAGATAATCATCAGGATACAAAGTTGCGATAATTGTTGTCAAGTGAAAGTATGGGATGGATTCCTTATATGCACATTGCATTCTTTATTTTGGTTGGTTGCTATTTTAAAGTATCGAAAAGTGGAAAGACTTTCAAAAAACAAAACATTAATCTTAAAACTTTTAATTGTATACCCGGTATATGTATCTTTTAAAATGAGCTTTTTTGACATTTTTTATATTATCGTCCCTGTTTTCACGAAGTGACGTTAGTGAATGAAAATCGCATACAATTTGCGTGCAGATTTTCCTCACTACCGTCACTTCGTGAAAACAGGAACGTTATGCATGTTTTGTAAGGTAGCTGAAAGTGGGATTTATGGAATTGTGAATATGATTTCATTCATTGAAATGGGCTGCTAGATTTGTCATTGTGTTTGGTACTGAGACTGATGCACAATTACATGTATCTTCACAGAGAGGTTTTTGAGAACAACATCAGTAACATACACGCAGTCATAGCCTATAGCAAGCTCGGCTCAGTGTCAATTGATTGACCTTTTTGATGTTTGATTGTTCCTCCTTGGCCACTTCTCCCAGAGAGTCCCACCAAGCAAATGTTGCGTAAAGCGTTTCAGACTATTACCTCAACCGCTTGAATGCCAGCCAGACATCTGCAGAGAGGAGAGATGGAGGAAACCCGCATCACTTCACTCCTTCCACCCTGCTCCTTGTCTCCTTGGTGTGCTGTGTTTGAGATGAGAGGAAGAGATGTGGAACGGGCAGGGGCTGTGTTCATACTGGTTGCTAATCCAGTGGTTGCCAAGAAGGTCTGCTGAGATTAGAGTGAAAGACAGTGAACAGACATGGTGGTGGTGTGTTCATACCGGTTGTTAATCCAGTGGTAGCCAAGAACATCTGCTGATCTAGATGAGAGCCAAAGACAGTGTACAGACATGGTGGTGTGTTCATACTGGTTGTTAATCCAGTGGTAGCCAAGAAGGTCTGCTGATCGAGATCAGAGCGAAAGACAGTGAACAGACATAGTGGTGTGTTAATACTGGTTGCTAATCCATTGGTAGCCAAGAAGGTCTGCTGAGATCAGAGCAAAAGACGGTGAACGGACATGGTGGTGTGTTCATACCGGTTGTTAATCCAGTGCTAGCCAAGAAGGTCTGCTGATCGAGATCAGAGCAAAAGACGGTGAACAGGCATGGACTAGTGTTCACACTTTATGTCTTTCTTAATCCAATACTAGTGAGAGTGTGTTCTGAGCCCCAGTGCAGGTGCTGTTTAACCCATTAATTACTGAATGGCCTCATTTCCATAGGTTTAATACAGGGACAACCCGATTCCCATAAGCAATTGATCGAATAGGGTTCCTTTGAGCACAAAGGAAGAGATTTGGAATAAACAGGGTCTGTGTTCATACTTCGCTTTTAATTCTGTCATTAATAACGTCTTTCTCATTTGCTGTCTATGTGTTCTTCATGGCTCCTTTATTGAAATAAGCAGGAGAGATGTGGAAGCGGCCTGTGTTCATACTTGCTCCTTATTGACTGGTAGCATGATGGTCTTTCTCAGACCCAGTCAATCTGATCGAATAGGGTTCCTTTGAGCACAAAGGAAGAGATTTGGAATAAACAGGGTTTGTGTTCATACTTCACTTTTAATTCTGTCATTAATACCGTCTTTCTCATTTGCTGTCAGTGTGTTCTCCACTGCTCTTTCATTGGAATTAGCTGGAGAGATGTGGAAGACGCAGCTGCTGTGTTCATACTTGCTCCTGATTTACTGAAAGCTTAATGGTCTTTCTTAGACCCAGTCAATTTGCTCTGGATGGCATTCTGTTGAGATTAAAGGAAGAGATTGGGAACAGTCCACATTCACACTTGCACCTAACCCATGGATATTAAACGAGATAGCCCTTCTCATCATCATTCTGTTTGTTCTTTCATTGGTTCTGCATTAAGTTGAGACGAGAGAGAGTCACAGTGAGAGAGAGAGAGAGAGAGAGAGAGAGAGAGAGAGAGAGAGAGAGACAGAGAGAGAGAGAGAAAGAGAGGGGAGATATTAAATAGACAACAAGCTCTTTCTCTATTGTGATTCACAAACTCATTGTAATATGATAATGTTTTGACTGATTTTTCATTTTGTTTACTATACATTTAAATACCTTGTTCACACTTTCTGTTTGATGTAAAACCTTCTTTCCTCTATCTTTTCATGATTAGATTACGTTTCAATACTTGGCAGAGATCTAGAGCACAGTCCTGCATGTTTAATGATAACAGTGTCTTTACATGTTACAATGTTTCAAACTGAGATTGCATCCTCTGTCTGCTGTTACCTCATTAATGATACATATATATCGATGTCACTGGGTACAATTTCGATCTCTCTAAAGGTCTGTCCACATAGAGTTGCCAATTTGCCATTTCATTTTCTTTATTGTACTCTATGTTATAATGATTTTGTGTTTAAAGAGATTTAAATGAAAAGCATGTTACCTGATGTACTTTCAATGTACATGGCTAGAAACTAGAAATTGTTGATTTCTATGCATTTTTTTTTTTTTTTTTTTTTTTTTTGGGGGGGGGGGGGTCATGGTTTGCATATATCAAGATTAATCAGTGAATGAGATCTAGAATAGGTGCTGCTAATATGCAGTAAACAACTTTCCCTCTTATTTCTCTCTGCAAGTTTTCTCCTTCCCACTCTCTCTTTCTTCCTATTTTCTCTTTTTTCTTCTCCTCCTCTTCATTCTTCTCCTCCTCCTTTTCTTCCTTCTTCTTCTCCTCTTCCTTCTTCTTCATCTTCTCTTCCCCTTTTATTTTCATATCTTCACTCCCTTATCCCATACCTCTTGTTATCTTTGTAGCTTTAATATCTTTTTGTATCGATCCTCAAACAAGCGGAACAAAACAAACACATTAGCATTTCCAGATATCACACTACATGTAGAAGTACATGTAGTTTGTTATGCCATGTGGCATGCCCCCAATCTTAAACATCATTTCTTGAGAGTATCCTTTCAGCTCTCAGCAGATGATATGTGACCAGGCACCACAAAAAGTCATCAGATAGGATTTTTAAAACTGTTTCGGTCTGATTCTAAAAGGAGGAGATTCTCAGCTATGAAATGATATAGAACTCATTACAGTTGGATGTTCCTAACCCAATTGAAAATGAGAAGAAAATCCAGTCTTAAAGAATGTTAATTTAGAGAAAAGGGCATTTAAGGTCTTTACTCGAGTCAAGCACTCTGACTTATGTTGTGCTTTCAAATTTTGAAAGTTGATAGTGGAAAGTAAACTCTTTCAGGAAATACTAAAAAGTAACATTTGACCATCCTTGCCAACTTCACCTTTATTGAGCTCCAACTGAAATTCACGCCATGCAACCTTTTGGTATTTTTGTGGTGCCTGGAGACATATTCTCTTTTCAACATTGATACACGTATATGAAGTGATGTTATCGCAAGCTTCATATGCATTCTCCTGTAGACCATGACATTGGTGTGCTAAAAATGTTCTTTCTAATGGAGTTGTGAGTAATTAGGGCCTGGAAGTCAAGCTTCTACCCATCATGTTGTTTTGCTGATGTTATCATCCATTAGATAGAATGTAGAATGTAACAAGACTATGAAGGCCTGATAGTGGGAGAGGCTACTTCACACCCACCGTTTAAGCAGTGGTTAATCTGAGGTCCGTCATGTATTCAGTAATGTTGAGGTTCGGCTAAAGTTTTGAAGTGTGAATGTGGTTGAGCTCTCTGGCTGACTGATGGTGGGAGAGGCTACTTCACACCCACCGTTTAAGCCTTGGTTAATCCAAGGTCCTGCATGCATTCCGTAATGCTGTGTCTCAGCCTAGGTTTTGCAGTGTGAATGTGGTTAAGCTCTTGGGCTGACTGATGGTGCTGGTTTCTGATAGTGGGAGAACATACTTCAGCCTACTTCACACCCATCGCTTAAGCCTGGGTTAATCCAGGTTCTTCATGTATTCACTAATGCTGAGGTTTGGCTTAAGTTTTGAAGTGTGAATGTGGTTATAAAGCTCTTAGGCTGACTGATGGTGGTGGTGTCATACCTCACATGATGTTAGAGTGGGATGGTTACATGGATGGATGGTATGGAGAACATTAAAATAAGGAAATGGATTTTCTCTAAGAAGAATTAAGGAAAAGGCAGAGATAGACAGAGTGTGTGAGGGAGAGAGAGAGAAGGAAAGAGAGAGAGAGAGAGAGAGAGAATGACAGAGTAGGTGAGAGAAGAGGCAGAGACAGAGAGTCAAAGAGAGAGGGGAAGGGGGAATGAGGGTTTGATTTGGTATGTGTAGAACAAAAGAAGGAAAAGTGTTGTATGTGATAAAAACATGTATAGAGAATGCTAGAGATGGAATCTTACCTACCTGAATATACCATTGTATTTGTGTTTACCATGAAACCGGTATAACCCCTCCTACAACTTTTCAGGCACCCCCCCCCCCCCAAAAAAAAAAAAAAAAAAAAAAAAAAAAATTGCTACAAATTGCTACATGGCTCAGGGAAAGTCAGGGAAAGTTACACCTTATCTTTACAACATTTTTTAATCATTATTCTTTTGTTGTAATTAAAAGTGCTTTCAAAGAAATAATTTACATTCTGAATTCTAATTCTCTTCCTGATCTACCAGCACGACGACACAGTCCTGATACATGCCGTCAAAGGAGGTCAGACGGAGGTCGTCAAGTTACTTCTCAAGAAGTTTGCCGATGTGGACATACAGGGTGATGTGAGTATAGAGAAAACCTTAATTAGTCTTTTGATTTATAAGCCAAACGGTGTTCATAGCAGTAATCAATGTGATTACATCGATGTAAATATATGAATAGCTGAAAACAGATAAAACAGATGTAGTTGAATTTTTACCAGTCACTCTTATGTCAATATGTGTTTAGACAAAAGTTATTATGATATCAGAAAGAGTGATTATTTTTCAAGAGTTTTGTTGTGAAAAATATACTCCTAAAGTTTTCAGTTAGGTTACTTTAATAAAGGAGAGCAGAAAATATTTCATATACACTAGTTAGCATCTTGAAAATGCAAATATAAGACTTTGAATGATTTAAGATGTTTTTTTAAAGAAATTTGATTGCATGAAGTAAAATTAAGTGTGTGTTCTTCAAAATGATTTTTTTTTTGTGTGTTATGATTTGTTATTTGTTTGTAGGATAAGAAGACGGCTTTATACTGGTCAGCTGAGAAGGGACATGTAGACATCTTAGAAGCAATCTTAGATAGCAATCCAAACACAGAATTAGCAGCTAAGGTAAGTCTGTTATGAAAAATCATTTCAACAAGAACTTATGACACCATCACCATCAGCATCATCATCATCAGAGAAAGACGGAGAAAGAGAGAGAAAGAGAGGGAGGCGGAGAGACAGAGAGAGAGAGAGACGCTCACACACATACAGAGAGAGAGAGAGAGAAAGACAGAAACACAGAGACAGACAGACAGAGAGAGAGAGAGAGAGAGAGAGAGAGATAGAGACAGAGAGACAGACAGACAGACAGACAGACAGACAGACAGTTTATGAATGAGGTTTCATTTAACATGACGTTCCGACATATCCAACTTTAGAGACGCATCTTTATTTAGGCCATTGCCTTTGGGAACTGAATGAGTGCTATACTAAGCCTTGTGGAATGGGAGAGCTCAATAGTCAATGGGCTAGATGAATCTTCAGTAACATACATACCAACATACATCCCATTTTCCATTATGACCTTTCAAGAGTTTTATTTTATTTGGAAAAATCACCCTGACCTTTAAGTTGACCGCCTTGAGTGAGCAGAAGGATCTCGGTATCAATTTATCTTTAGAGATTGATTACTTATTTACAAGAATTAACATTTTAAAGAAATCTCCCTGGAGTTCAAAGAATAATATATTGTATTTCACTTATTCACTTAACGTTTGGGCTATAATATGACGTCTCAGTTCTTACATGTCATTGTAATATATGCATATCCTGCCTTTTCTCGTAGGATGGGGAAACCCCTTTATTGAAGGCGACGAGAAATCGAAACCGAGAAGTGGTGCGAGCGTTGCTTGATAAAGGAGCTAAAGTATCCGCCACCGACAAGGTAATGGATTGTCATGAATAGCTTGCTTGATTGTTTTGTTTTTTTGTCGTTTTAAAATCGAAGGAGGTAGAAGTTCAAACTGATTCATCATCATTCAATCAATAAATCAAGGAACGAGAATAAAGATAGTAAGCAATACATTTTGATGATTGATCGAAGTCAAGTAACCTTTCAAATGCATTTATGATTGATTAAGAAATTAAGGATAGAAAGCAGTAAAACCTGCGTACATGTACGTACTGTGTGGGAGTTGTTGCAAATGATACATTTTTCACTAATGAACCAAGTTTAATTGTATTTTTCATTACTAAGTGTATTCATATGTTTCTTTCAGGCATTCTGGTGATTAAGTATGTGAGTTATTTATAATATATCTCTGATAGATACTACCAAGCATAAGTTGTTGCTATGCTGGGCAAGCATTTGGCAAGCTTTTTGGAAGTAAAGATCAAGATTTTTTAATGGTATGCTTGGGATTTCTGATCAGGAGAAAACTTGTCTAATGAAAAAGAATTGAGTATACATTATTGGATATTTCACACAGGTCTTGATTTTATCTTCATTCTTTACATTAGTCATAGTGTTATAAGCTTTTTCATCATTCCTGGCTTATCAAAAAAAGTCATGTGTTTTTTGGTAAAGAAATGTTGTTGTTGCTCTGCTCTCTGTAAATAATGATCGCATGCTCGATTTTGTAATTGAAAAGAAATCACACAAAATCCTGGAACCAGCAAGATTTGAACCGGCCATGTACTGCTTGCCATGTACTGCTTGCCAGGCAGTGACTCTACCACCTGACATAACTTGTCCATGGCACAGTCACGATGAACTGGAAACAAATACCTCAGCTCTCCTGACTTATTCTGACTTAAAATATTCATCAGTCTGCCATGAATCACAAGATCGAGCCCTTTGTCTTAATTTCCTGGGTGCAAGCAAGAAATCTCTTTACAAAGATGGAAATTACTCCCAGGAGTCCCAACATTCAAATGATGTAATTTTTGTTGTCTCATTTTTTAGAGAATGGACACCCCACTCCATATAGCAATCCGATTCAGGGATAAGAAGATCTCTGAACTACTTCTAAGAAACCCTAAAGACGGTAGGCTACTGTACAAGCCTAACAAGGAAGGGGAAACCCCTTACAATATTGATTGCAATCATCAAAAGGGTATCCTAACACAGATCTTTGGTGCTAGTAAGTATGATGTCTTCTCTTTTCTCTTTCTTCGCCTATCTATTGTTAAGCTGCATTCTTCCTTTTCTTCTTTTAAATGACTCCATGATATTTATGTAACTGATGTCTTACTGAACATACATTGACGAAGTTATCCGTATTAAATGATGTAACCGGTGTTCCGAGACACACATGATTTTGTTAAAATAATCTAAACCCTAGTCATCCAGCTTTATTTGTAGTTTTCCAATCTTCAGACCTCACTCAGAAACTCTTGCCCCAAGCCGTTTCCTTATGGTCTCTACAATAATTCTTTAGACAATTTCTCCCCTGAAGGATTGTCCAATCTGTCCTCTAAGGCATTTGGGACTTTTGTCCATAGGAATTTGCAGTGGTCTCTGTCACAAAATGTAAGCCCTAGAATCAATAGACCAGTTCACGGTTAGCACATGTCCCAAATGACCCAGAATATCCACAGATCTCTCAAAACATGAAGAGTTCCCACTTTGTACATTTTATAGTAATCACTCCGATAGTCGTGGAGGTGCTACATAAATAGCCTTTGTTTCCCCCTTTTTCAAAGAATACTTCCACCTGTGTATCATGGAGTGCACTGATTGTGCATAAATGAATTATTATTACATAAATTTCATGAGCACGTATCCAGTATTTGTCTCCGTGTATTTCACAATTTGGTCTGCAATGACCTTTATCTGCTCATGCTCAGACTGCAACTATGAACTGGCTTATTGCTCATGGTTTTCCACAGTGTATTATGATGATTTTTTTTTTCAATGAATCTAACACCATCTGTCCTCCCTTGTCCCCTCTCCAGGGAGTTTCAGCCCAGGTGACGAGGTTGAGAACGAGTTAAGTGATCTGTGTAGCAGTTCTTTAGCTGATATCCTCAGCGAACCCACCCTTCTGCCACCCGTCACAGTAGGTCTGTATGCACGCTGGGGCAGCGGCAAGTCTTTCATCCTCAAAAAGCTGCAAGGTGAGTGTCTTAAGGGCATCTGTACTAGTTTACAGGAGGCATTAGACCACCCTGCAAGGTCACTGGACAGGTGGTTATCTCATCAAATCAGCTCTCAGTTAACATTAAAAAAAGAGGATAATGGGGGATCAATGGTCACCGATTAGGCATTGTTTGCTATATAGAGGGAGCAAGTAGCTACAAGTAGTACAGTGGGGCTTTAAAAGTGTTTCTAACTGTAAATTTCCTCCTGGATTCATATCATCTAAAGGAACCTCAACAAAAACAAATTAGGACGAAAATAAATATGAATTAATTGTAATCATGAATTGAGATCAGTGAACCAATAGACTTGTTTCTTTGATTGGTCAGGAGATCATCATTTTTTAAAGTACATGTACAAGATTAAAGGAGCTCTTTTTCCTTTTTTTTGTTTGTTACTTTCTCTCTCTCTCTCCCTCTCTCTATCTACCCCTCTTTCTCTCTCTCTCTCTCTCTATCTCTCTTTCTCTCTTTCTTTCCCCCTCTCTCTCTCTCTCTCTCTCTCTCTTTCTCTCCCTCTCTCTCTCTCTCTCTTTCTCTCTCCCTCTCGTCATCTCTTTTTCTCTCTCTCTTTCTCTGACGATGATAATGATGACGATGATGGAAAGTACATGTACAAGATTAAGGGATTTTTTAAAAATTTGTATAACTTTCTCTTCTTTCTTTTCTCTCTTTTTTTTTTTTATCTCTCTCTCTCTCTCTCTCTCTCTGTATCTCTTATCTCACCCTCTCTCTCTCTCTTCTTCTCTTTCTCTCTTTCTCTCTCTCTTTCTTTCTCTGATCATGATGATGATGATGTCTACACCATTATTTTCTCCATCCAGATGAGATGTATCAGTTTGCTCGTCAGGACTACCAGCCCATCTTTCGTTTCACCTGCTGGGTCTTTGTCCTCTGCACCCTGATAGGTCTAGCCCTGGGAACCATAGTCCTCTTCATTCCCTTCATGGCGGAGGACTTCAGCTTCAAGAGTACCCTCTGTCAAGCCGGTGGTGTCGCACTGGGAGTCTTTCTTTTATTGTATATTATCTTAGGTAAGGGTCTCTCACAATCTTTCTTATGTAAACCCAGGGGGGTGTTTCACAAAGATCCTAAGTCCAACTTAGATTTAAGTTCAATTTAAACATTATGAAGAGCCATTTGTAGCCTTAAAATAAAATGTATTCAAAAGCAAAGAGTAGAGCATTTTAGACTTTTCATAAATTCCACATCAAGAACATGAAATCTTCTTGATGATAGAAAATATGAATGATTTTAATCAACATTTTATGCCCTTTGAAATAAATTTTACAAAATATTTTCAAAGATGCTAACGGCTTTCCATAATCACTAAGTTCAACTTAGGATCTTTGGGAAACACCTCCCTGGACAGGATTTATTTTTAAGGCTAAATTGTTAAAAATGGGCAACAATAATGTTTTTTCTTTTATCACTACAATGATAGACTGAAATGCAATGACTCTGAAAACAATATACAGGGGCAAGATTGTTGTCAAAATGTTTTTGAAATGGCCAGTTTTTATTTTTGTTAAAGAAAGACAATTTTTTAATAATCTCTCAACATACTGCCAATTTGAGGAATTCAAAAAAATGTTTTCATCATTTAAATTCTTAGCATCGATTTCAATATAATCAGTTTACTTCACAATGGATTACAATATCATAATACAGACTGCAACTCACGTATTCCTCCCCCAAATGAAATATGAGATGTGTTTTCAGACCATGGGCAACGATTATATAGAGATTCTTGTCATATCTATTTAATTTTTAATTCTTTCCTTTTTTTTTACATCCTAGCTCTAGTGTATTTTGGTCATCGTCACAAATGGAGGGGATCAGGGAAAATGAGCGAATGGCTCGCAAGGCAGGCCAACTACTTTCGCCTCGTGATGGCGCTATGCTACTGTAATCCACCTGTCTCTTCGGACAGGACAGCCAAAGTCTTGCCAGTTAGGTAAGTCAGAATAAAGACAAGACGTTCTCTTATGAAAATGATAAAGTCAGTTGATGATATCACATGAATATCCTGCTGTATTAGGTGATAACAATTGGTAACAATATAGCGCTCGCGTCCGGCACAACATTACCACTCCCCACGCTCTATTATTATTATAACCGTTTTTTTTCTGAGCTAGATTTTATCTAATGTGATACTATATATACTAGGTATTAAAGATGGATGCCATCATCTAGATTTTGTATATGGTCTCTCTCTCTCTCTCTCTTTCTCTCTCTCTCTTTTTCTCTCTCCCTCTCTTTTTCTCTGTCTCCTTGTCTTTCTCACGTTCTCACTCTCTGACTGTCTCTGTCTCTGTCTCTCTCTCTCCCCCTCTTTTCATCTCCGTTTTTTTTTTTTTTTTTTATCTCTCATCCCTTTGTTCTCTTTATGAATCAATGTTTTATTCCCATTCTTGACTTGTCTCTATCCATCTCATCATTATTTTTGCTTAGCGTCCTTCCCTCTCTGATTATCGGTCTTATTCGTTGTCTCTTTCTTATTCCCTTTGACCACATCCCTTTTCACATTTGTTGTAGTATACCATCAAACCTGCTTTAGTGACCACCTGTCTACAAAGACCACATTTTTTTGTTTCCCTTGACAAAGGTTTCTCATTGAAACATGTACTAAAGGTAACCTGTCTAGAAATACCACTTTTTGTGTTTCCCTTGGGCAGTTGCTATAGACACGTTTTACTGTATTATATAAATTGAAATTGTTTATCCTGCTTTAATTTCCCTATCTCTTACTCTCACCTCAACGCATTAGTAGTTACCACTTCTTCTATTTTTGCCTCTCCCCACCCAGGTTTATATTTGGAGATCACCTCCACCTGAGCAATCTAGGGAGCGACGCCCCTCTGGCACGCACCATTGGTAGCCTAGGGGTGTCGTTAGAGAAGGAGCTTGGGAGTCTGGTTTCCAGGCTCTATAGGGTGGTCCAATCAAGACCGGTAAATGGTAAGTATATCCTCAGGGTAAGGTCACGCTCGGATGTGACCTGGTATTAAACCGCCCCATATGTCACTGAATCGCAATTGCACGCAACAAAGGTCCCATGTGCATTCACTGAGCTCTGTTTTATAATGAGATACAGAAATGTGACACGTATTACACTTTAAGGCAGTTGCTGTTTCATTTCTGAACGAGGCCTAACAGATCAATTCTCAAGGGCTACTTTCATACTAAACTGGATATGGCTAACGCGTTCATTGATTTCATGCAGTGCCAAGTATTTACATGCAAGAGGGGTGCCCTGTTGATTTTCTGTAGAATTATTCCCTTGGCCCCAAGCTTTAAAAAAAAAATTAAATCTTCATATTGGAAGCACATCCCTCTAAATGACATATGCCACTTGTATTTGTTCTCATACTTTGTACCTCTTGTGCAAGTCTATGGTACAGGAATTCTTCTCCAGTTCTTAACTGGATATTTATGTGTGTCAGAATTGATGTCTTGTAAGATTTATCCAAAAATAGGCCAAGTCTCTTAGTTGTCACTGCATTCAGTCCTTTTGATGTAGCTTTCATTTTGTTTTTAACTTTTATGGGTAGTCTGCTAACCAGTTTACAACCATGTCTCACAAATATGATGAGACATGATCGATTGCAGTTCCTCTTTTCATTGGTACAGTTATTGTTCAAGGATAACAAGCTTAACAACGAAGGAATCCATTGTGAATTTCAAGTTTAAAAGAGAACCTTTTCATTATCACAAAATACTTGATATGGACAGCTCTTAAAGGTTAAAAGAGTGCAGGATTAATAGTGACAACATGCAATCCAGTGTACGATAGAGACTGTCTTCCTTTGTCTTAACCAGATTGCTTCTTGATCCATCTTGTTTTCAGGTAAATCACATTGGAAGAGGTACTGCTGCATTCCCAGATTCATAGTGACATTAATAGTTATAGGATGTTTCATAACAGGACTTGTGCTTCTAGTGTATGATAAAACCAGGGCAGAACCTGTCAAGGCAGTCACCAAGGACAAGATCACGCTCTACGTCTTGGCGAGCGTTGTGGCATTATCAGCTCTGGCCAACCTCTGGAACTTTATCCAGTTTGTCTACCAGATGGTATACCCGCCTAGGATGAGGATGGAGCGGAAGGCGCGGCAGGCTGGGCATTTGAAACCGGATGCTTTCCTGCGAAGCCTCAAGCAGGAGGTGACGACTCTGACCAACATGACCCAGTGCATGGATGCCTTCCAAGGTGTCCAGACGCGGATGGTGGTCGTTGTCGACGGGTTGGACAGCTGCGAGCAGGAGCAGATCTTGAACATCCTAGACTCCATCAAGGCGCTGTTCTCCTCCCCGTACTCCCCCTACATCACGATCCTAGCCGTCGATCCCTACATCATCACCAAGGCCATCGATCAGAACCTTCATAATGTCTTCAAGGAGTCCAACGTGCGGGGGCATGACTACCTTCGCAACCTGGTCCATCTACCCTTCTACCTGGAGGTGGGTGTTCGTCTCAAGGACAGCGCGGAGATGCCACTGGCCAACCATGTCTCTCCCTCTACCTCAAGGGTAAGTCCTGCATGTCTGTAAGTTCAGTTCCGTTTCATGTCATGGCAGTGTTTTGTGTCACTTTCAAGATGCACTCAAATTTTGTTACCTTGTTCAAAAAGATTTAATTCAATTGCAAATTGTTAACACTCGTCAGATATTTCACTCTCTAAGCTAGAATGAATTTTTCCCCTATTTATTATGATTATTATTATCGTTGCCCCTTAGAACAAAATCAATAGAGACACATTCCCCTTAACTGTTTATCTGTCAACTTTAAAATTCAAAATGTTTTAGGAATAGTTTTATTCTGCCTTGCTTGAAAGCATTTTCAGTGTTATTCAATGTTACTGCCTGTCTTCTATTTCTTCTTCTTCTAAAAGTGCAGCTTCACCCATTTATTCTGCTTTAACAAGTTGAAGAGGAAAAAAAAGAGCAATATTCTTTCTTTCTGTTAGTGCTAGTTGCATTTCTGTCCATCAACAAACGTCATTCCTCGACAAGCAAGCAACTGCTTTCAAAGCATTGATGTCACTTATGTTTGTCTTTATATAGAATTTAGACAAAAAGCATGCTTTTACAAGCATTTAGTATATATGTGCTAGACTTTCAACTCTTTCCAAGAACTTTTTCATGCGAAATAAAACCATAAAACCGGAGCAGATTGTACTTAAGCAGGAATCATGTACATGTAGTTGAAACATGTACTTCATGTTGTTTTGACAAAATAACGATAGGATAAACTGTACCTTCTGCTTTTAAAGGGACTTTGTAACATTGTTCAGATGAGAGATAGTGGTGCTAAGGTAGTGACTTCAATGCTAGATGTACAATTAAAGATAATCTGAAAATTTGAGTGAAAACGGATCATTATTCATGGTACAAATTGGGAAAAACTGATCTGATCGATTTCTTAATTCTCCCAACTATATCATTCTACTTCTATTCTGCTACTTGTCAAAGCCTGTTCAGACAAGGACAATTTAATTACATTTTAGGTGAATGTAAATCGTCACAAAGCAATAAAATGGCTCTACATTCCATTCCAGACAGTTAAATGTTGACAGATTTGTATAGCCTGTTTTATGTATTTTTCTCATGGAAAAACGGTTGGGAAAATTCAAAAATGGTTGGGAGAATTTACTGTTAATCACTGTTAGATGGTGCCTCACATCGACGCCTTCAAAGAAAACCATAGATATGTTTGTGGTTTGAGAATTTGTTCAGGATTTTTTGCATGTCAGAGGGTTAGTATTGTAGAAGGAATATAGTAAGTAACATTTTATAAAAAATTAAGCAAATTTTTTTCATCAACCTTCAACAATGTTACCGAGTCACTTTAATAATAAACTATAGCCTGTTCAGACAAGGACAATTTAATTACATTTTAGGTGAATGTAAATCGTCACAAAGCAATAAAATGGCTCTACATTCCATTCCAGACAGTTAAATGTTGACAGATTTGTATAGCCTGTTTTATGTATTTTTCTCATGGAAAAACGGTTGGGAAAATTCAAAAATGGTTGGGAGAATTTACTGTTAATCACTGTTAGATGGTGCCTCACATCGACGCCTTCAAAGAAAACCATAGATATGTTTGTGGTTTGAGAATTTGTTCAGGATTTTTTGCATGTCAGAGGGTTAGTATTGTAGAAGGAATATAGTAAGTAACATTTTATAAAAAATTAAGCAAATTTTTTTCATCAACCTTCAACAATGTTACCGAGTCACTTTAATAATAAACTATAAAATTACAGTTAGCATATATATATAAAACCTGATGCTTAAATGGAGTGTAATTCTTTATTTTTGCAGTAGAAATGACAAAGCGATCGATGTTAAAACTCCTGCTCCTTCATTGTTATCTAAAGAATCCCGTTATTGTCCAGAACCTTCTGTGTTTACGCAAATATCATCACACTAACAGAGTGCCCCCTCAGTATGGATGCCATGTATAGATAGCGCAACAAATAGAATTTGGATGAACCCCTATTTATAGAATAACACGCCCTCATTCTGCTATACTACTCCATCTAATCTGAGAAATAATCAGTGTTGTTCGTCACATTCCTAAAAATTATATTTTCATGTCGCCAAATGCATGAGAGAATAGCAACTTATTAAAATGAGTACCATAGCTGCTGCAGAGAGGGGCAAATATCCTTTTTTGTGCACTAGGATTTTGACTTTGTCAGGTTTCATACACCATATATTTTGGATATAATGGATAATTCAATTTGATTTGCGATAGTTGTGACTCGGAATGTCTTCTGTCCAAAAAATATTGTGGAAAGTCTTTTATTAATAAAGGTCTAGTTAATCACAAGTGAGAGAATGGTTAAAATGATTTCCCCTTCCCATATTTTCATACCTATTAAATATGTTATATATATAAATAAATATACAGTTGTTCCTTATAAGACACACATTTGATATTGCTATAAAGAGGGAAAACTTACTATCATATAGCCTTTAATTGTTCCTGTACTGTTATTTCTCCACATATACGTGGACTACAGTAACTATGATATACTTACAAACCATTTATAGCAGTGCCCAACTAAATATCCCATGCTTGGCCCTACTCCAATTATATATAAAAAAGTGGAAAACTGTTTTGCACTATATAAGCAAGATTTAACTGACTGTTTTTCCTGTGCTTTTTTCCCCCCACACCCCATCTTATCTCTGCCACGTTGGTTTGATTTTTGTTGTTAATGCCTACCATAGATGACACGGTGGGCTCCTGCGTTAACCCTCCCCAGTATACCCGAACTGCCTGAAAACGATTCCACGCCAAGCCCCTCTGATCGGAAGACACGGCTACTTAAAACCAAAGGGGTAAACCGATTTGAAGAAAAGAGAAAAAAATATATAACTTATATGCATCGATGACTGGAATGCCCGATATTCAAATTTTTACAAATGGGCTGAGTTGTATCATGGCATTTTGGTTGCTCAATTTGGTTTCTTGGCGTGCAGCTTTTTTCTTGTGATTGCATCGTATTAAACAGTTCGGCTGCCCCCTGCCCCCTCACTCCCGCCCTCACCACACCCTTCCCCAAATATTATGATGTTGGCATCATGTATATCTTTGCAGTTCGGGTTTTTTATGACCCCTTTCTGATTCCGTTGCTGCCGTTTCTCTTCTAAAACGCATGAGATTCAAGACTTATCCATAGCATGGCATGGTTCAGCCCCCCCCCCCCCCCTCCACAAAAACAAATAATAATAATAATAGTAATTATGATAATGGACCCTTTTCACTGATACCTTACCATTGCACAGTTCTGTTTTTTTTTAACTACTCACTAATCTCTTGTCGTACGATATTACATCATATTTAAGTTCAGTTTTACTGTCAAACACGACCTGTCCCTTATATCTTTCACCGTCATGGATATATATTCTCATTTTATGATCAGAAATATCATGTATATTTTTACTTTCAATATTTTTCCTTCCATACATCTATCTTGTATTCTATAAAAGTGAGATTTGTCTTCATGATTTGCAATTATTAATTTTCCATTCTGATTTTATATTCAGAACATTTAATCATGTCATCATCCATCTGATCATCTTTATCTTCATATTCATCTGTATTTTATCTTCCCCCTACTCTGAGCCTATCTACAGATATTCTCAAGAGCACAAGCTATTCAAGCACTATATATAGTTTTATTGCTTACAGTGTATGACTACATCTTTATAGGAATAATCATTTCTATTTTAACTATTAATTGAATGGACAAATGCTTTAATAATTGGTGATGTTTTCAAACCAAAGCGGTTGAGCAATGGCCTTGTAACAGGGTGGTACTGGGTTGGAAACCAAGTCAATGCGCTCGTTCCCTTTGGTATTGGCTTTAATCCTCATTAACAAGTCCCTCAGAGAGGAGTTAAAGCCATCAGTCCCCTTGTTGCTTACTTACAAGCATACATGCTTTCTTAGCAGTCAGGTAAAGCGAACCTCAAACATCACAAATGGAAGGAAATTAGATGGTTCCTTTTCCTTGAAATGGTTACAACCACTAGAAGGAGAAGAATGTTCGAGAAGTATAGATTTGTTATCTAGTCCTATTTTTTTTTTATAGAAATGTAGTCTGGTAGATGTGTCCACATTATGATGGGCAATCATTTGCATCATTTGGGGTCATGATTTGTGCTCCCCTTGGCCCCGCACTCTTGACCCTTGTAATTCAAAGAATACAATAGAATGGTACCATTTTCACATTACTTGAGATTGTTTTGATTGTATCTTTTGAAAAGGGATAGAATTCTTGTCTCATATTAATTGCTTGCAGTGTGTTGGAAGATCATGTAGCATTAAGGAATTTGTTTTTATTTTTCCCTCTTTTTTATCCAGTATGTATCTGTATAGAAGTACATCTCCATCAGGCACAGTTCTAGAAGAATAAATATATATATATTTTGTTTGTTTTTTGTTGGGGGGGGGGCTTTGGGGATCTTGCTTTCATTTTCTGTGCCTAGATTAAATTCATTTGTAATCAAGAATTTGTATATATTTTATTTGGGGGGAGGGGGTTGATATCCAAGCCCTCCTCTAGAACCATTTCTCATCTTCATGTACATGTATTTACAGCTTGTGCACATCTCTGATTTTCTTTTCTTTCCTTGATTTTATCACCCTCCTCCTTAAATAGAAATAGAAGATTACTTTGCCTGTTTCTTTCTCATTATTAGATAGATTTGAAATAAATCTACATTCTGATATTAGCCTGTTAATTCCATCCCTTTATTTCCTTTCTTAATGATTCATATATTGTGTAAATTAATAAAATAGAAAGACTGTTGCCGAAACCCTCATCTTTACTTAGATTGCCCCTGAAATAAGAGAGATATCGATCTCCTGAATCATTAGAAAGGTTGTCTGAAAGCGCTGGAGACCTACATTGTCTGTCCTATGGGCTGGCGTTCTGGTTGGCTGTAGCTAAACCAACCCTGTGTCTTTTCTTCCACCATGTCTGGCTTGTCTGCCTATCTTCTTTCAAAAGTTATCACTACATCTTTAAGCCCATCATAAATGACATACGAACATATGATTTCATCAAAGTTGTTTTCTTTTTAATATTTTCTAATATAAGCACGTTGATTGCTGCATGCGTTTGTGCATGCTTACACATGTGTACACCATACTAGTGCATCTTGTTTTGCAGTTTTAACAATTGTTGAGAAAAATGTTGTCATGTCAATTGTGTCACATTTGTTTCTACATTAATGTTGATAAAGTAAGATAAAGAAATCTTTAAATTTCTTATCCGAAGACAATTAAGTAGAGAACTTAGTAGCAACACTATCCAGGAAAGCTTTATAATAGGTCTTTATATTTTTTTACTTTGAAATAAAGAAGTATGTCTAGTACATGTATATTCAAACCAAAAGTATGATAGCTATGATGTAATAAAAAGTATACAAGAGAATTTATTTATAGATGGATAACATTTTGTCCTGAAAGTCTTCATGTTTACCTCTCTTCTGGTCTCTAGAAGTTTCTTTAAAGAAGAAAAGTAGCTTTATTAAGATTGATGAATTATTTTAGAAAAAATGATGATATTTCTAATTGGCTGAATATCTCATTATGTTTTTCTCATCTGTTTGTTGTGTATCATCTATCAAAGTAGGATCGTTGGTTAAAAGAAAATATCAAACAGTTACTTTGGTGTGTTTTAGTCAATTACTACTTTTTTGATTTAATTTTATTCTGATTACTTGTTTTGTGCTTAAATGATTGCAGTGGTTCAACTTTATTTACATAATGTGAGTTGTTTTTTAAAAGTGATGATTTAAAAGTAATTGCAACGTTTTTTCGAAAGTTACTTAAAAAGTAAATTGTTTAAACATCACAATTATCTTGACGTTTATATATATATATATATATATATAAGGAAATGTATACATTTGATATTTTAATTCAGGGCCTTGTATTAATATAGTCTGGCTTTTGTATGTATAGATGATCTACATGCTTGCGGCATGTTTACTGTTCTGGGCCTGTTGCACAAAACTTACCATTGATGGTAACTTTGCCATCAATGGTAAGTACCATGGAAACCTTGATTTTGATTGGCTGTTGAGCCCTGTTACCATGGTAGTTGCCATTGATGGCAAAGTTACCATCAATGGTAAGTTTTATGCAACCGGCCCTGGTTTGAGGATTTATAGCATCTTGCTTATAATTTGAAAAGCCTCCACAAAAATAAGAAAGTGGATGCTCACTGAGATTTTTAAAAACCTATTTTTTAATACTTAAATGGAAACTAGATACCTGTATCAAGACAAAGGTAATGAGAGAATTCAATAGGTAATGGGTTCAACTCTATAAAATAATAATGATAAAAACAGTGCTTATAAAGTGCTTACCACCAAAGTCTCTAAGCGCTAAAATGGTTAAACAGTTAAAATGTGTATTCGTTGATTGTCGAACTGAAGTTTTGTCAGGTCTTAGTTGGACACTGTAATAAACAAATAGGGTAGAATAGAATCGTGAGTGTAACAAAGAGGGGTGAATTGAAGCGCAATAACTTCAAATTATATTTCATTTACTCTGTATCATGTTCAGACGGAGATGACGATAGTAACGACCATCCCAGGGGATTCCCCTCCACGGTACGGCAGCCCTGATGCCATGAACGCACCGCTCCTCCAGAGGCAACGGTCTACCACCAAAGATCTCTCACAGATGCTGTCCTCAGATGAACAGTTCAGCGACCTCAGTCCTCGTAGTATGAGAAGGTTGCTCAATATTGTTTCAATCACAGGTAAGTCAACACCTAGTGTAAGTGTTAGGTTAGGTGCTAGGGTGCTAGGTGCTAGTCATCACTTGGTGTAATTATGTTCACCATACACTATTAGATGCTTGCTGAACCTGGATGATATTAGCTCAGTAGCTTAACTGTGGTATAATTTCCTTTTTGGCATTTTCTGCCTATATTACTTGCACTATCCAGCAATATTATCTATATGTTTTGATCTACTCAGAATCACATCTTTACTATTTCATACCTTGAATAAAGGCAAGATTCTTCAAATGTGGTCATAGTTGCATCACCAAGAGTCCAGTGAAATTTACTGATAGGCTGAGTATAATAACTGGTGCTTACAGTCAAGCGCAGACCCATAAGTTTTATTTTGACTATAAAATGAATGATGACCAGTTTTTAATACAAACATTTACAAGAATGTTAAACTTACAGGACCTCCATTACGTCTCTATTTTTTCATGTATACTCTCTAATTATCTAACATTGTTTTGCAGCAGTTAAAGGTATAGAACAGTTTTGGAAACGCCCCCCCCCCCCTCTCAACAAATGAAATGGAAGCTTGTATTACCAATCATGTGAAAGAATATGTTTTGATTAATACGTCATGATACAAATTTGGGAAACTGCCACTAATTGATATATTTGGTAAATCGTCATATCAGTCCGGCCTGGATAGATATCGCGTAGTCCCATTTACATCTTTCTGTGTACAGTGCTTGTAACTTTACCAAGACTGGGCTAAATTTCTTATCATTTTGATGATTCCAGAACCTTGCAGTATGCACCAATACTTATATGCTAGATGATCAACCTTTTATGATCGATTCCACAACGTTTCTTTCACAATGTAATCGCACAACCAAAACTGGTTTATACCTTTAACTGTACAATTCATGAATTTTAACTCATTTGATATCTGATTATGAATCGCCCGTTTGGTTCCTTCAGGTCGTCTTCTGCGTGCCAACAACATCTCCTTCAAGTGGCAGACCTTGGCGCACTGGATCAACCTGACCGAGCGATGGCCGTACCGGATCTCTCGTCTCATCGTCTACTACCAGGAGAACGAAGAGCACATCGAGGACGATGTTAGTCTTAAGGTCGTCACTGACAGGTATGTCTTCATTCAAGCGTCTCTCGTCTGTCTGTAATAATAATAATAGTGAGTTCATGTCTGTCAGACTTGACACTCCTGGCGCTCCCGATTATTACCCTGGCTTTAGCATTTCAAGGAATTAATTCCTGCCAGGTACCCATTTACATCACCTAGGTTAAGTGTGGCAAATTTAGATCAATGTCTTGCCAAAGGACATTAGTGCCCTACTAGTGTCTATCACAATGACGCACCATCTTGTCTAAAGTATCAGTCACAGGACAGGCACTAGGAGCCCCAGGGAATCAATTGCATATCATATCTACAGTTTCTAATCTTGTATGTACATAGTTGTAGATGGTACCAATTTCAATCGCTTGCTACTCTTTGTGAGCCAGGAGCCAAGAAATTTGTTCCTTCATTGCGCCAACTCTGATATTAGTCCTGCAGACTTGAAAATGCACAAGCCAAAGCCTGATTGTAGTGACCACTTTTTACTGTTTCCATGCAGTTTTGCCTTAAAAAAACTATTGCACAAAATGAAAAACAATAAGTATATAAATTTACTGATGTAACAATGATTATATTCTTAAAAACCCTGTGTCTTGATGTAGGATCAGCGACGACCTTCTGACCCTCCACGAGTCGGACCCCCTAGCCGACTTGGACCAAGATGGACGTAGCTTTATGGTTTGTCTTGCCAGGCATACCCCTCAACTTACCTGCGGTGACCTCAGAAACTTCCTCTCGTGTACCTGTAACCTGGATCCACAGCTTAGGAAACAGATCAGAGGTGAGAAACGTCATGCTCCTAAAAAGAAAGAACTGGGACTCTTTTCACAAAGCCATTTTCAATGACAAATTACAAAAATCAGTGACAATTCTGCTGGTATCCAATCAGGAGCAAGGATTTCACTAGCTTATGACAAGTTTTGTGAAATGGGGCCCAGGTGGTGGGGGTTAGAGAGGAGTTAGACGGACAAACTTTCTCTTTTGCACATGTAACTTGGGCAAACAGCTTAGGAGACAGATCAGAGATGATAAATTCATACTGTACATGGACAGAGGAAGGGAGAGAGATAATGAATGAGAGAGCTTTTAAGGAAAAGTATTTAAAATGTTGAAAGAGAACTGTGAAGAAAAATATAGTGGAAAAGGGCTGAAGTGTGTCTACAAATTTGTGAGGGGCTAATAACCGTAAAGGCAAAATAATAATAATTCCATTACTGGTACTCATGAAATTTTCTATTGATTTTGTGACCAGTGCTTATACCCATCTTATAAAGAGTTGCGACTGATCCAAATCAATGGCAAGTCCTCCAATCAATCGCAAGTGTACAGTCTCCTATCTCTTATGTACAAAGTTGCGTTAAATATCAAATCTTTATAAGACACAGCCGTGGTATGAGAAATTACACATTGAAAAGAGCCTACAGTAGAATTCTTTTGTAGAAAAGTGTTAAAAGGTTCCTTGATCACTGACCCAACACTCACTACGATGGAGGCGTGATAGTTCAGTCGGTAGAGCAGTGGTGTCGTAATCCGGTGACCCAGGTTCGAAACCAAGTGGATGCGCTAGTGTCCTTTGGTAAGGCATTAATCCTCATTACCAGGTCCCTCGTAGAGGACCTAAAGCCGTCGGCCGTCTGGTTGCTTACTTACAAGCATTTATGCTTTTTTAGGAATCAGGTAAAATAACCACCACCACCACCACCATTAAAATGTGTTTCCATGTCTGATTGCTTGACAGACTCCATTGAGACGACGGATTCTGCAGGTAGCCATCCCAACATGAGCAGCCTGGTCAGACCACAAAGCTTCGCCCATAGCTTCCCCGCCCAACCCATCGCATCCAGAGCATCCCTCTACTCCTCCATCAGTGATACCCCATCACGTCTTAACTACCAGATGATGGCTTCCAACCCTTTCATGAAGAAGGTAAGATGACTTTCTGAGATTTTTTAATGATTTTTTTTCTTTGTTTTAAAGCCCCACTGCACTACTTATAGCTACTTGAGCCCTCTATATAACAAATAATGCCTAAGCGGTACCCGTTGGTCCCCCATGATCTCCTTTTTCTTATGTTAACTGAGAGCTGATTTTATGAGATAACCACCCGTCAGTGACCATGGTGGGAGGTCTAATCCCTCCTGGCCAAACTATTGCAGAGGGGCTTTAAAGGATAGTTCAAAAGTTATTGAAGCTTGTGCCCTTAAATATTTTTAACAGCAATATGGTGCCTTATAAATGTTGTGAGTCATTATTGTCATCAAATCATTAAAAAATACTGCAACAGTGTTGGTTCCTTCCTGCTCTTAGTGTTAGTAGCATCCTCTTCATTGCTCATTATTTTCAGCATTGTCATCATCATCAACTTCATCATCAAGAACGTCATCATCATTTTACCAATGGTTCATTATATTGTACTTTATACAAGAATTATGAATGGGTTTAAAATCTTCTTACTTACATAATTTTATTGTGACTTTCTTCCGGTAGTAATATGTATTCCCTTTACGTGTTTTTGACACATAGATCCTCCAAAGTCCTGCATCCACCCCTCAACCAGGGATTCTCACTGTCAAGGACGTTTGCGATAGATTACTCAGTCTGGACGGCATCGACAAACATTCGATCCCCCGTTACCAGACTCGCATAGCAGAACACCACATCAATGGCCACGTCCTGTTACAGTGTGAGCTCGACGAACTCAAGACAGTCTTGGACATGACGTTCGGTGATTGGCAACTCTTCAAGTCCATGGTGATGCAAATGAGGGGTATGGCCATGAGCGCCGCCGCCACCCCACACAGCCCCAGTCAGGCCAGCAGCGACCCTCTGGTAGATGGAGAGGAGGAGCCAGAGGAGAAGCCGGAAGAGCCAGTCGATCCGGCCAACGACTATCTCAACCTGAGCTATGAAGAGCTGCGGAAGAACTCGCAGATGTCGTCGCAACGGTCGTCCATTCATAACTCGCGTCTGTCCCTGGGCACGCTAAGAAGCGAATCCTCTCACCCAGAGACGTCCAGTGGTGAGAACACACCAGCGAGGAAGCGCGCAAGTGGGCAACCCAAGTACTCCACGTCCACGAGCCTCGCCGGTATGTTGGTCAGCATGGATAGTGGCATTGAACAAAGCAATAAAAATATTCAGGATGGTGCTCAGCAGATTGTAGGTGCTAGTGTGAACAATACCACCGTGACAACCACACCGGCTAAAAACACTCGGGTTGTCCCAGTGACGACCACCTCAAAATCAACGGCTAGCGTTGGGACTAGCACGGGGCTGACGACGGTTGCTGCTGTTCATCCAAACAGCAACGGAAAGAAACCTAGTGATGGAGGAGCAGAGAAAGATACAAGTAGCAGTACATCATCAGAGAGTAGTACTGATATCACAGCACTAAGAAGAGACAGCAGAGGAGACATCTCAGAGGATGAACCTACTCTGACACCGGAGGATGGCAAACTAGAGACAAGGACTACATCTTTGTTAAGTAGTGGTGGTGATAAAGCTAAGCATAAAATAGAGAGGCAGATACAGGAAGAGGAGGATGAGGAGGAAGAGGACAAGGAAAGCTCACCTTTATTGCAAATAAAAGAGCCCATAGACATCAAAGCAAAGAGCAAAGTCAAGGAAAAATTGTCGAACGGCAGTGTGAATGAGATGGAAGCGATGCTGACAGAGAGCAGTGAGAGTCCGCTGCACCTGTCTGGCTTAGTATCAGGTGAAGAGACAAGTAGTAGTGAGCAGGGCTCACGACCGGTTGAACAGGATGATCGCAATCAAATTAGTCCCACCCTTAAAGAACAGGTCACAAGAGATGTCAATAAAATGTTTGAGAACTTGCAGACAGAAATCACAAGTCGTTCCAAGGAAGGCCAGTCCACCGTTATTACAAGTCCCACAACAGGACGGATACGCGTCCTACGCGCTCCCATCAAAGTGGAGCAACAAACGCATGATTTATCGTTGCTTGCTAGTTATTCCACCTTCATACCACCGGTACGCGAGTTAGACAGTGTGCCTGAGTCGCATGTGGCGAGTTCCACGTCGGTGTCGTCCATCGGGAAGCAGCGACGCGTCACTGGAGGGAGCCCTATCAAACATTCACAATCCGTGGGGGCCATTCCTGCCCCTTCACCGTCCATCACCAGTCAGGAATCCTACAGCCGCTTCTCCGAAACGGGAGCCGGTCTCCACGAGAACAAGCGGACTCTAGACCAAAGCTTTGACGAGTTCATCAAGCTCTCGCTGGGCGAGCAGCGCAAGAAGCGTCATCAGATCCACACGCAGCTCTCGTTTGAAAGCGAGCGAAAGCCGGGGAGAGGTGGTGGGCAGCGCCAGATGAACCAGAGCGAGCTGATCAGGAGATCGGCACCCATGTTACTCAACCCCATGGGACGATCTCCCGAACATAGCATCGACATTGATGATGAAGCCACCCCAGCCCAGGAGAAACAGAAGTCTGTGGATGACGGTCACTCGGTTGTTTGATAAAGCGCCCTCTTTGTGTGATTATATGTAGTGTTGGTAGTACTGCTCGTAGAGTGTAACTTAATCTTGCCAAAGTACATTCAGGCTTTACCCAAGATTCAAGACTAATTGTGATATGTTGACATATTAATTGATCAGACTGATTATATTGTATTATCTGATAGGTAGTAGATCTTATTTGAAGCGTGAAATTATTCATGGAAAGCTTATATATATTTAAATTATATATATATTTGAGAATGATGTGATGTCTCTTCTTTTCTAGCATTGATGCAAATGGTTGCGTTTTTCAAAGTTTGCTGTGCAAAAAATAACTTTCGACAGGATGGCATTGATGCTAGCATCTTTCATGATTAGATGTGGAAAGAATTTCAGAGGAGAATAAATATCAAATGAATATCTTTTATGGGTACTATTAAATAAGTTTTGTGACAAATGATATGAACTTTAATAATGTGATGTCTGTAATTTTTTCATGATGGTTCTGAAGCTATATTTAATAAATTTTTGCTATGTATTGAATAACATTATTCATTTTAAATATGAAGAGGAGATGATCTAATTATTAGTTTTATATTTGTGTCATAGAATTAGTATAAACTATCTAAGTAATGCAAGGATCCTAAAAATTCTTATATCAGTGTTAGATAAATCGTGATACAACTATTTAATCCATACTTTTTGTATTTTGTTATGCTTTCTTTACGCAAATCTCCACAAATTTGCAATGTAAATCTTTTTCGACCCCAAGTAAAAAAATTCCATAAATATTAGTGTCGTCAATATTTTAAACTTCAAATTTAAATAGAACGGTAATTCTATTTGAAATGCAACTAGGGGCAAAAGTTTAACATGTTCAAGATTTTACTGTAAAGAAAACTGAGTGTGAGGTGTCTGTTGCTAGTATATTTATTTTTTCCATTTATTTTATTGATTGATTGATTAAATTAATGATTGCACAAATGCGTGTTGATTTATCCCCCTTACATCAGTCAGTATTTAATATGTTCCAGTAAGAATGCTTAACAAAAGGTACACATAGAACTGGAAAGAAACCTGGGCATTTAAAGAAACAAAGAGTTGCAATAATAAGGAAATATACTGTGTTGAATATAAACATAGCCCTAATAGCCCTAATAGTCATTTGTGAGAAATCCCAATGGAACAGTTATGGCAGGAATATGATGGGAGATGAGATGTTGCTTCTTACTTACTTTTTGCTACTTAGCGGCATTATGGAATTATAACTATCTTGCTTTTCATCAAATCCTTTAACATTTCTGACAAGTTGATTTGGTTGCTTATCTAAATTATGCATGGGCTTTAGTACTATTGTATTATGTTAATCAGTGTTTATGAGTGCATTCATTGACTGTACGAGAACCTTGTGGTCCATCGGGCAGAGAGTATTCAATTTTTAACAGTGTTCCATTCTTGATGTGTTTCTACTGTGCTCCCTGTTTCCCAGTCTTCCCATGTAGAATTAGATTGAAAATGAATTTCCCATACAAATAAATTTGGTTCCTTTCGACTTTTGGATTCAATTTGAAGGTTTAGATAGTACTTCTGGTTCAGTTCTTCCCAGTAATAAAACATCATAATCAAGTAAATCTACAATAGTAATGAAATACAATTTATTATTGTACTTGTTAATGAAGTTGAACTGACAATTCATTTATTACAAGGGTTTTGAAGAAAAAGAAAGGTGCCATGTTTGTCCATCTTCCTAAAGAGATGTATGAATTGAAGATACAAAGTGTGGAATCTCCTTTTCATCATAGTTCCATTCTGAGTTTGTCATTTCCGCTCATGTATCTTCTGGAAATGTAATATATTTTTCTTCATCAATAAATAACAGTATTTCTAGCTTGATTAAATGGTCATATAGATTATGTGAAAACCATGAAATACCAAAGAGAAACTTGGGATGCCCCAAAATCCTCATTTTCAATCATATTTCAGTTTAACAGTGAAAAGAAAGTCATAAATTTTGCTAGTTCGATCTCACAAACAACAACCTTCTTTATAGAAAACAAAAGACATGCATTAGGAATACCGCTATATGAAATTTATTTTTGAAGGGTGTATGAACTTAAGTTGATGCTTTCCAGTAGGCCGGTACCCATTTGAGAAGATGAGTTGAATTGAATGTTATACATCTGATTAATAACGAGCGCATTCAATCTACAAATTTTATATTTCAAAATTCCTTTGGTGTTTAATTTTGGATTTTCAATCAGAGATATCACACACAACACTATGGATTGATTGTGCATGTCAATTCTATGGTATTTTTAAAGTTGCATAGATATTCATTTTTGAAATAGTTTTAGAGGACTGACAAATGTATTCAGAGTGATGAATATATCTTTTCCCTGAGTGCCTAGTCATATTCATTCCTACCTAGCTAGATGATATGTCAGGTAAACCTTGTACAAAGTGATATGTCAAGTCTACCTTATACAAGGTGATTTGTCAGGTAAAATTTATTTAAGGTGATATGTCAACTAGAGTTTTAATTTGAAGCAAGCAAAGATTTTCAATACATTTGACGATCAGGGCTCAGTTTAATAAACGATTGTGATTGATTCGTATCGATCGTAACTTCATACCAATGGCAACTCTCTACTAATGATGAAGTTTTATGTTATTTTGCGATTACTTTGAGGGCTTGAGATTAATCCAGATCAATCGCAACTCTTCATAGGCCAGTACCCTTGGCATGTCCATGCACACTATTCATTGCATGATTTTATTATTAGTCTACCAATTCTAATTTTAAGGTCATACCTACTTAAGCTGATTTTAACCCCATTTCATTTTCTTGGCCGTCTCATCAACTTTCAAAGTGTCAGATGAACGGTGAACATTGAAATACATGTATTCAATATGAAGGTCATGCATGCCCAAAATATTTTTTTTCATCGTATATGCCGACAGATTTTATTTACGCATCCTACATTTGCGATTTTTTTTTTTGGGGGGAGGGGCAGGTAAAATTTGTCTTTGTGCGCCCATAGCATGTGTTTGTATTGTCTCTGGTTAAGATTCCAAAAATATGTTGCTAAATTTTGTATCACTAGAAATTTATAACCAAGTACATAGATAGATAGATAGATATACCTGTACAACCCTTTACAACTTCATGAATATTGAATTATTAATTGCATCTTATTACATTTGTGTGTGAGCATGCATGAGAACCCATTACTGAATATTCCTAGCCCATTTGACGTAAGAAAGTATAACTTATTGCAATTTTGCCTTGTGTGTGACTTGGATGGGGATGAAAATGCAAGGGGCTATTTTAGAGTGGCTTAGATCATAATTATTAATTCTGTTGATATATTGATCTCTAGTAGTCATAATCTGATATTAATATCAAGTGCAAGAGAATTATGTGTTGACATCTCCCCCAAGTTTACATTATGAAACACCAAAATGCAATATGCCGGGGTTTAATGTCTCCTCATCACAAGTTAAAGATTTGAATGTAAAATTGAAAGGGGATGCGATTGTAGTTTGTAACCACTAGAATCATATCGTATTGGTATTGAAGGAGACCAAATTCTTCCTTTCCTTTTCATTTAGCTCAGTTTTTTTATTTTGTTAAATCAAGAGTTGTGTGCAATTTGCCTAGTTTTTGTGGACAGCAGTTTGTTGTACGAAGATGAATTATGACTTACTCTTTATCGTTGTATTTTATGTTTCGTATTTATTTGTACATTTTGATTTGTCGAAATTGGAAGAAAAGTGGAAACCTTTTTCTGTTTTGTTTTTCACCAGTACAATTGTGCATTTACTGAAATAGATGTTTTCTCCCTTTTTTTTATACCGGCTATCTCCCCCACATCTTTTCACCCACGACGTAGGATCCATGGAAAGCATTTTCAAGTTTTAATTTCTCCGGTCTGTCCTTTGAATATGATAGTTTATGTAGTGAGAACACAATGTACAGTATTAACAGATGAGATGTGTGAACAGTTTCTTAGTGTATGGTGTACCAATCAGAATTTTTAACCTCATACCATGTGTTGAAACTATTTGAAAACCGATGATGAAAAATATATACACCGCTTTCATGGCGTGAAAGCAACTTTAAACAAATTCAGTGGAGTTTCTGTTGTTATCTTTTCTAGTCTTATTTCTCCATGGTTTTACTTTCAAGTTGGCTTCGAACGGGGCATAGGGGCAAATTAAATAAAAATTCAAACAATGCCACTTTTTGGCGAAGAGATAAAAAGATATGAAATAACATAATTTGAATAGACAGGGGTCATTGACACCTTCTGGAGATGAAAAATGGCCTTTTTGAAAATTCATAAATTTTGGCCAAAATGATGGGCTCAACCCTTGCCAATTTTGTCAAAAAGTGTCATTTTTCTACATTTCATATTTTGAATAGACAGGGATGATCACTGACACCTTCTAAAGATAAAAAATGGCCTTTTTGAAAATTCAAAAATTTTGGCCAATTTTGTCAAAAAGTGTCATTTTTCTACATTTCATGAAATAATCTGCAATATCATAATTTGAATAGACAGTGATCATTGACACCTTCTAGAGATGAAAAGATATGAAATTAAGGCTTATTGAAAATTCATAAGTTTTGGCCAAAATCATAGGCTAACCCCTTGCCATTTTTTTCAAAAAGTGTCATTTTTCTACATTTCATGAAATAATCTGCAATATCATAATTTGAATGGACAGTGATCATTGACACCTTTTAGAGATGAAAAGATATGAAATTAAGGCTTATTGAAAATTCATAAGTTTTGGCCAAAATCATAGGCTAACCCCTTGCCATTTTTTTCAAAAAGTGTCATTTTTCTACATTTCATGAAATAATCTGCAATATCATAATTTGAATGGACAGTGATCATTGACACCTTCTAGAGATGAAAAGATATGAAAATGGGGCTTTTTGAAAATTGATAAATTTTGGCCAAAATGATGGGCTAACCCCTTGCCATTTTTGTCAAAAAGTGTCATTTTTCTACATTTCATGAAATAATCTGCAATAACATAATTTGAAAGGACAAGGATCATGGACACCTTCAAGATATGAAAATGGGGCTTTTTGAAAATTCATAAATTTTGGCCAAAATGATGGGCTAACCCCTTGCCATTTTTGTCAAAAAGTGTCATTTTTCTACATTTCATGAAATAATCTGCAATTTCATATTTTGAATAGACAGTGATCATTGACACCTTCTAGAGATGAAAAGATATGAAAATGGCCTTTTTGAAAATTCATAAATTTTGGCCAAAATGATGGGCTCAGCCCTTGCCAATTTTGTCAAAAAGTGTCATTTTTCTACATTTCATATTTTGAATAGACAGGGATGATCACTGACACCTTCTAAAGATAAAAAATGGCCTTTTTGAAAATTCATAAATTTTGGCCAAAATGATGGGCTCAACCCTTGCCAATTTTGTCAAAAAGTGTCATTTTTCTACATTTCATGAAAAATAATCTGCAATAACATAATTTGAAAAAACAGGGATCATTGACACCTTCTAGGGATGAAAAGATATGAAATTAAGACTTTTTGAAAATTCATAAATTTTGGCCAAAATGATGGGCTAACCCCTTGCCATTTTTGTCAAAAAGTGTCATTTTTCTGCATTTCATGAAATAATTTGCAATTTCATATTTTGAATAGACAGGGATCATGGACACCTTCTAGAGATGAAAATGGGCTTTTTGGAAATTCATGAATTTTGGCCAAAATCATAGGCTAACCCCTTGCCATTTTTGTCAAAAAGTGTCATTTTTCTACATTTCATGAAATAATCTGCAACTTCATATTTTGAATAGACAGAGATCATTGACACCTTTAAGAGATGAAAAGATATGAAAATGGGGCTTTTTGAAAATTCATAAATTTTGGCCAAAATGATGGGCTAACCCCTTGCCATTTTTGTCAAAAATTGTCATTTTTCTACATTTAATGATATAATCTGCAATTTCATATTTTGAATAGACAGTGATCATTGACACCTTCTAGAGATGAAAAGATATGAAATTAAGGCTTTTTGAAAATGTATGAATTTTGGCCAAACTCATAGGCTAACCCCTTGCCATTTTTGTCAAAAAGAGTCATTTTTCTACATTTCATAAAATAATTTGCAATTTCATATTTTGAATAGACAGGGGTCATTGACAAGTTCTTGGGATGAAATGATATGAAATTAAAGCTTTTTGAAAATTCATTAATTTTGGCCAAAATCATAGGCTAACCCCTTGCCATTTTTGTCAAAAAGTGTCATTTTTCTACATTTCATGAAATAATCTGCAATAACATATTTCGAATAGACAGAGATCATTGACACCTTCTAGAGATGAAAAGATATGAAATTAAGGCTTTTTGAAAATGTATGAATTTTGGCCAAAATCATAGGCTAACCCCTTGCCATTTTTGTCAAAAAGTGTAATTTTTCTACATTTCATGAAATAATCTGCAATAACATAATTTGAAAGGACAGGGATCATGGACACCTTCAAGATATGAAAATGGGGCTTTTTGAAAATTCATAAATTTTGGCCAAAATGATGGGCTAACCCCTTGCCATTTTTGTCAAAAAGTGTCATTTTTCTACATTTCATGAAATAATTTGCAATTTCATATTTTGAATAGACAGGGATCATGGACACCTTCTAGAGATGAAAATGGGGCTTTTTGAAAATTCAGGAATTTTGGCCAAAATCATAGGTTAACCCCTAGCCATTTTTGTCAAAAAGTGTCATTTTTCTATATTTCATGAAATAATCTGCAATTAATATTTTGAATAGACAGTGATCATTGACATCTCCTAGAGATGAAAAGATATGAAATTAAGGCTTTTTGAAAATTCATAAAATTTGGCCAAAATCATAGGCTAACCCCTTGCCATTTTTGTCAAAAAGTGTCATTTTTCTACATTTAATGATGTAATCTGCAATTTCATATTTCGAATAGACAGAGATCATTGACACCTTCTAGAGATGAAAAGATATGAAATTAAGGCTTTTCGAAAATGTATGAATTTTGGCCAAAATCATAGGCTAACCCCTTGCCATTTTTGTCAAAAAAAGTCATTTTTCTACATTTCATAAAATAATTTGCAATTTCATATTTTGAATAGACAGGGGTCATTGACACCTTCTAGGGATGAAATGATATGAAATTAAAACTTTTTGAAAATTAATAAATTTTGGCCAAAATCATAGGCTAACCCCTTGCCATTTTTGTCAAAAAGTGTCATTTTTCTACATTTCATGAAATAATCTGCAATCATAGGCTAACCCCTTGCCATTTTTGTCAAAAAGTGTCATTTTTCTACATTTCATGAAATAATCTGCAATAACATAATTTGAAAGGACAAGGATCATGGACACCTTCAAGATATGAAAATGGGGCTTTTTGAAAATTCAAAAAAATTGCCATTTTTGTCAAAAATTGTCATTTTTCTACATTTAATGATATAATCTGCAATTTTATATTTTGAATAGACAGGGATCATGGACACCTTCTAGAGATGAAAATGGGGATTTTTGAAAATTCATCAATTTTGGCCAAAATCATAGGCTAACCCCTTGCCATTTTTGTCAAAAAGTGTCATTTTTCTACATTTCATAAAATAATTTGCAATTTCATATTTTGAATAGACAGGGGTCATTGACACCTTCTAGGGATGAAAAGATATGAAATTAAGGCTTTTCGAAAATGTATGAATTTTGGCCAAAATCATAGGCTAACCCCTTGCCATTTTTGTCAAAAATTGTCATTTTTCTACATTTAATGATATAATCTGCAATTTCATATTTCGAATAGACAGAGATCATTGACACCTTCTAGAGATGAAAAGATACGAAATTAAGGCTTTTTGAAAATGTATGAATTTTGGCCAAAATCATAGGCTAACCCCTTGCCATTTTTGTCAAAAAGTGTCATTTTTCTACATTTCATGAAATAATCTGCAATTTCATATTTTGAATAGACAGGGATCATGGACACCTTCTAGAGATGAAAATGGGGCTTTTTGAAAATTCATGAATTTTGGCCAAAATCATAGGTTAACCCCTAGCCATTTTTGTCAAAAAGTGTCATTTTTCTACATTTCATGAAATAATTTGCAATTTCATATTTTGAATAGACAGGGGTCATTGACACCTTCTAGGGATGAAAAGATATGAAATTAAGGCTTTTCGAAAATGTATGAATTTTGGCCAAAATCATAGGCTAACCCCTTGCCATTTTTGTCAAAAAGTGTCATTTTTCTACATTTCATGAAATAATCTGCAATAACATAATTTGAAAGGACAGGGATCATGGACACCTTCAAGATATGAAAATGGGGCTTTTTGAAAATTCATAAATTTTGGCCAAAATCATAGGCTAACCCCTTGCCATTTTTGTCAAAAAGTGTCATTTTTCTACATTTCATGAAATAATTTGCAATTTCATATTTTGAATAGACAGGGATCATGGACACCTTCTAGAGATGAAAATGGGGCTTTTTGAAAATTCATAAATTTTGGCCAAAATCATAGGCTAACCCCTTGCCATTTTTGTCAAAAAGTGTCATTTTTCTACATTTCATGAAATAATCTGCAATTTCATATTTTGAATAGACAGTGATCATTGACACCTTCTAGAGATGAAAAGATATGAAAATGGCCTTTTTGAAAATTCATAAATTTTGGCCAAAATGATGGGCTCAGCCCTTGCCAATTTTGTCAAAAAGTGTCATTTTTCTACATTTCATATTTTGAATAGACAGGGATGATCACTGACACCTTCTAAAGATAAAAAATGGCCTTTTTGAAAATTCATAAATTTTGGCCAAAATGATGGGCTCAACCCTTGCCAATTTTGTCAAAAAGTGTCATTTTTCTACATTTCATGAAAAATAATCTGCAATAACATAATTTGAAAAAACAGGGATCATTGACACCTTCTAGGGATGAAAAGATATGAAATTAAGACTTTTTGAAAATTCATAAATTTTGGCCAAAATGATGGGCTAACCCCTTGCCATTTTTGTCAAAAAGTGTCATTTTTCTGCATTTCATGAAATAATTTGCAATTTCATATTTTGAATAGACAGGGATCATGGACACC